CAGATGTTGGGTCGTGCCGGTCGACCTCAATACGATACTTACGGAGAGGGTATCATCATCACCACACAGTCTGAGATTCAGTACTACCTGTCCTTGCTCAACCAACAGTTGCCTATCGAGTCGCAGCTCATCAGCAAACTTGCAGATAACCTCAACGCTGAGATTGTTCTGGGTAACGTGCGCAACAGGGACGAAGCGGTTGACTGGCTCGGCTACACGTACCTCTTCGTCCGAATGCTTCGTTCACCCGCTCTCTACCGAGTCGGACCAGAATACGAGAATGATACTGTGCTGGAGCAAAGACGTGTGGACCTTGTTCACGCCGCTGCACATGTACTTGAGAAATGCAGTCTGATCAAGTACGATAGGAAGACCGGTATGCTCAACCCCACAGAGCTTGGAAGAATTGCCTCCCACTACTACATCACCCACAACTCCATGGCGACATACAACATGCACATCCAGCCCGGTATCAGCGCTATCGAGCTATTCCGTGTATTTGCACTTAGTGAGGAGTTCAAGTACATCCCCGTCCGTCAAGATGAGAAGCTCGAGCTTGCGAAGTTACTAGGAAAGGTCCCGATCCCAGTCAAGGAGAGCTTCGAGGAAGCCCAAGCCAAGATCAACGTCCTGCTCCAAGCTTATATCTCTCGCCTTAAGCTGGAAGGATTGGCGCTGATGGCTGACTTGGTCTACGTTACGCAATCCGCTGGACGTATTCTTCGCGCCATCTTTGAGATCTGTCTCAAGAAGGGTTGGTCGCAAGTCGCTAAGCTGGCTCTCGACATGTGCAAGATGGCTGAGAAGCGTATGTGGCCAACTATGACCCCTCTGCGCCAATTCCCCACGTGCCCTCGCGACATTGTGCAAAAGGCTGAGCGAATCGACGTTGGCTGGTCGAGCTACTTCGGCCTCGACCCGCCAAGCATGGGTGAGCTGTTGGGTATGCCCAAGGCTGGCAAACTTGTCTGTGGTCTGGTAGAGAAGTTCCCGCGCCTCCAGATCGAAGCGACACCCCGACCGGTGACAAGGTCGCTACTCCGTCTGGAGCTGACAATACGACCTGACTTCGTTTGGGACACAGAGCTGCACGGAGCCTCAGAGGCATTCTGGATCTTGGTCGAGGACTGTGACGGCGAGCAGGTGTTGTTCCACGACACCTTCATCCTCCGAAGGGACTACTCCGATGGCGACGCCAACGAACATCTGCTGGAGATGACTGTGCCCATCGATGAGCCCATGCCACCCAACTACTTCATCACTGTTCTTTCCGACCGATGGATGGCATCTGAGACCAAGCTCGCTGTCTCTTTCCAGAAGCTTATCCTGCCAGCAAAATTCCCTGCCCACACTCCCGTTCTGGATCTGCAACCTCTGCCTGTTTCTGCCCTGAAGAGGAAAGAATACATGGGCTTGTACGAAAACATCGGTCGCTTCAACAAGGTTCAGACACAGACTTTCAACACCTTGTATACCACAGATGACAATGCTCTCATTGGCGCATCAGCAGGCATTGGCAAGACCATCTGCGCTGAGTTTGCCATTTTGCGACACTGGGCTACCAACAATGAAGGCCGCATTGTCTACCTAGCACCATTCCAAGAGCTCGTCGACAACCAGTACAAGAACTGGAATGAGCGGTTGACCGGTCTCAGTGGAGGAAAGGACGTCGTCAAGCTCACTGGCGAGACAACGGCAGACCTGCGATTGCTTGAGAGGGGTGATCTCATCCTCGCCACTCCTTCTCAATGGGACTCACTCTCCCGTCAATGGCAGCGCCGGAAGAACGTCCAGTCCGTCTCTCTATTGATCGCTGATGAGCTACATATGCTTGGTGGCACGAATGGTCACGTTTACGAGATTGTTGTTTCCCGTATGCAAGCAATGGCAACGCAATTAGAGTCGAAGCTGCGCATCGTTGGACTAAGCGTGTCTCTGTCGAATGCGCGAGATATCGGTGAATGGATCGGTGCAACCAAGCACACCATCTACAACTTCAGCCCGGCCATCCGAGCAGTACCGCTTGAGTTGAAGATTCAGTCGTTCACGATCCCCCATTTCCCATCCTTGATGATGGCTATGGCGAGGCCGACCTACTCTGCCATTACGCAAATGTCTCCAGACAAGCCGGCCATGGTTTTCGTCCCGAACAGGAAGCAAGCCAGGAACTCTGCTGCTGACCTCCTCAACGCTTGCATAGCTGACGAAGACGAGGATCGCTTTCTCAACGTTGAAGTATCTGAGATTCAACCTATCCTTGAGAAGATCAACGAGCAAGCGCTGGCTTCGTCGCTGTCTCATGGTATCGGATACTTCCACGAGGCCCTCAACTCTTTCGACAAGAAGGCTGTTCAGCATCTCTTTAAGGTTGGCGCGATCCAGGTGCTCATCGTATCGCGCGACTCTTGCTGGGAAATTGACAGCGGTGCTCATCTCGTCATCGTTCAAGGCACTCAATTCTACGAGGGCCGCGAACATCGATACGTGGACTACCCCATTAGCGATATCCTGCAGATGTTCGGCAAGGCCGGCAGAGTAGGACTGGACAAGTCAGCGAAGGGTGTGCTTATGCTGCCTGCGGTGAAGCGAGAATACTATAAGAAGTTCCTTAACGAGGCTCTTCCAATTGAGAGCTACCTTCCCGACTACCTTCACGACGCCTTTGTTGCCGAGATCAGCGCAAAGACGATTGAGTCAACACAAGAAGCTGTCGATTGGTCAACATACACATACTTCTACCGCCGTTTACTCGCCAACCCCAGCTACTACAATCTCCACGACACGTCGCACGAGGGACTTAGCGCGCACTTGTCCGACATGGTTGAGTCGACCCTGAAGGAGCTAACCGATGCCAACCTCATCGAGCACGACGAAGACGAGGATGCGATCACACCTCTGAACCCGTGCATGATTGCGGCGTACTACAACATCTCTTTCATCACCATGCAGACCTTGATGATGTCGCTCAACGGCAGGACAAGTCTCAAGGGTGTGCTGGAGATCATCACAGCCGCCACTGAATTCGAAGACATCCAAATACGGAGGCACGAGGACCACATCCTCCAGCGCATCTACGACCGCGTTCCCTTCAAGATGCAGGAACCCAACTTCGAGACGCCGCATTTCAAGGCTTTCGTTCTTCTGCAGGCTCACTTCTCACGCATGCAGCTCCCCGTCGACCTGGCCAAGGACCAAGAAGTCGTGCTGCGAAAGGTCCTCAACATCCTCAGCGCAAGTGTCGACGTTCTCTCATCCGAGGCTCATCTCAACGCCATGTCCGCCATGGAACTCTCCCAGATGGTCGTGCAAGCAATGTGGCAGAAGGACTCTCCTCTCAAGCAGATCCCCCACTTCGACGCCGACACCATCAAGGCCGCCCAAAAATTCGGCATCAACGACGTCGACGACTTCATCAACGCCATGGACGAAGACGAGAACCCAGACTACAAGAAGCTCATCTCCGCACTCGACGTCGACCAACGCCAACTCGCCGACATTGCAAACTTCACAAACAACTTCTACCCCAACATCGAAATCGAGCACGAACTCGTCGACCCCGAATCCATCGCTTCCAACTCGCCCGCCCAACTCAAGGTGCGCATTACGCGCAACATCGAGGAAGACGAGGAGCCCAAGATGGAAGTCCACGCGCCGTTCTACCCGGCCGACAAGACGGAGAGCTGGTGGCTCGTTGTGGGAGACCAGAAGGAACACACGCTGCTTGCGATCAAGAAGGTGCCTATTCTGAGGAAGTTGGAGACTGTGCTTGAGTTTACGCTCGAGAAGCCGGGTAGTCATGAGTTGACGTGCTATCTCGTTAGTGATAGCTACCTTGGCGTGGATCAGGCGCCTAGCTTCCAGGTTGAGGCTGCGGAGGGCATGGATGAGGATAGTGAGGAGGAGGAAGATGACGAGTAGATGCTTTGACTTGCATGGTTGGATTGCATGGGAATCGTATCTGGAGTGCATATTTGTCACGCAAAATTGGGTTGCGGCGTGACTGGGCGTTACGAAGTTGGATTGGCTGTATAGTAGTCTCTTGTTAAATCGACGTTTGTGTTCACAAGCTTGTTCGTCATGCTCGTGTGCTTGGGATGATATTTGCTGTCATACCTGTGACTTCGGCATGTGTCATGCATGAACAACCACACGACCGCCTCCTACGATAAAGCTCACCGCACCCGCCACGCATCGTCAACGAATCCACTTCGTCTCAACCAAGATACAATACAACCAAGTGGACTCCCATCACCACCTCTCCCTTCTGTACAGATGTCGACCACCTTTGGCGCCATTGTGATCATCTCATTATTCGTCCTTCTAGTGTACTTCATATACAAGACCTTCGTGGATGATCTCACCGATTTCGACGTGGTAGGCGGGACGCTGATCGTTATGGGTGCGGCATTCTTGTTAGGTCTTGCCGGTAAAGCGGCTTGGGAGCAGTATGCTAAGCGGAGGGTAAGGGCTCGAGTGGCGGGGAAGAAGCGTGGTGTGAAGAAAGTGGTCACGAGTATGAGGGAGCTTTAGGGAAGGTGAGCGCTGTGTTGAATGGCTGTAAGTATGCTGTCAGCTTGAATATGTTTTCGTTTGGTGGGTGCTGGTCACCAGCTAGCTAGCCTCGGAAAGAAAAAGAAACTGGACACCCTGGAGCCTACCTGGACACCGGGTCATTTCGAGGTCTACTTTGTATGGTTTCATCTCAATGTAGGTCATAAGGGGTGAAGCAGTCTTCAGTCATATTTGCCTCCCGAGGCTAGCTCGAACAGTTACAAACACTCATGATTTCTAAAGCGGTAGACCCTCGTATATTACTCACGGTAGCCCCTTGACAGTGTATAGTGAAAACAGAAGAGCGGACTGTGGAGGTGCAAGCTTTAGCGGTGCGTGTAGTACCTTACAAGATGCTACTAGCCGATTAAGTACTAGCGCCTTCACATCCAGAGCTTTTCCTCTCACCCTTCCGTCACCTTGCACCTTCGACACTTTCCGCAGTCAGAATGTCTTTCCTCAATCTTCAACCCTTCGACCCAACGTTGGCCCGTTTGCATCACGCCTATGTTAACAACGGTGTTGCACCGCCCATTGTTACACCTAATGTCAAAGGCCCGCCTACTCTCGTGCCCAACGCAAAGTGCCTCGCAATGTAAGTATAATCTCATTGAATAGGACTCTGCTCACGCGTTACCTCACTCTCTGCGAAGAGAGGCGCTAACAGTCAACAGCGCTCAACGCAATAAAATCCAGTCACCTCTTCTGCGATTACCAGCTGAGGTTCGTAACAAGATATACGCCTACACGCTCGAACTCATCCCCACGGAAATATGGCGGTGGCATCATGAAGAACTGTACTTTTGGGATCGTATGTTCTTTGTTCGATCCTCGCGCGAGGTCTTCGCTGAGACCGCCGCGGCGTACTTCGAACTGAGACTCCTCCCATATCACTACGCTACATTGTCAGTGGTAAAACTCCCGCCGCGTAGGTCAGGGCTCATACTGCCAATCACACCGTCTCAATTCCGTATGCTGGGGGCCCTTGCTTTTAGCTGGTATCATGCAGTGGGCCTAAAACCAGGTAAATACTGTCCATTTGCGCACAGCGGCCTGAGGCGGTTACATATTTCCGGGGCACCCGAAGAGACGAGACCTCGACTTTTGTGCGAAATTAGGCTTAGGGGTTGGATGGAGAATCCGCGGTTAGAGTTCACGTACACCATGCATGAGGACTTGAGCACTCTGCAATGGGTCCCGGATGCATAGCCATCGAGACCCAGCAAGATGAAGAGTGTATCTGATGCTCTAGGATTTATGCTGACAACTGATGCCAATACGTCGATTCCTGCGTGTAGGTTCGTGCGTGTAGGTTCGTGAAGTTTGGTCGCGCAGGATAGGCGAACCAAACTCGATCCTGCTATGGCTGACTCAAAGGTAGTGCTGGTAACGTGGACACGGGACAACGAATAAAATGATGAAGAGAGGTAATCTACGACATTCCATGCACTAGCGGCGTGACTCAAATTTCTATACTTATATTCTATGTGAACCTCAAACACCTCTTCAACCTACGCTCTTAATTTCCTTAACAACCTCACTCAAATTCGGCTGATCTGAAACTCCTGCCTCCCAACTCACACCCCGCCAACCTGCACGTCTGTCGATATGGACGAATGCAAAGGACCGCCCACCCTTGTGCCCAACGCCAGTTGTCTCGCAATGTTAGTTTCATACCTCACTAGAAGTAATGCGCAGCTGAGTATAAAATGCTGACCGCCAACAGTGCTCAGCGCAACCAGCTTCATTCCCCTCTCTTGCGTCTGCCGGCTGAGATCCGCAACAAGATATTTCATATAGCCCTAGATCTCAGCGCAAGGAATTGGAAACATGACTCCCATTTCCACTGGGACCGCCTCGATCTGTCCCGTACATCACGACAAATCTTCGCCGAAACCGCAAATGCCTACTTCGCAATACACCTCTACCCCGTCGCACGCTTCATACATCGCGAGTTCGACCTATCCGACCTCTCGAAACTCCGGAAGCGGTGTACGCCGTTACAGCTAAGGTTGATTAGGCATATCGATATTGATTGGGATGCCTTTCAATCTGAAGATCCAGCCATGGGACTCCGCGAGCCTATCGAACAGAACATGCGTACATTGCGGATTTTTCCTGCACTGGAAACACTGATTATCTCGGAGGCACCATATCAAGTGACCGGTGCTGATGACTGGTATACGAATGAATTCCGGAAACAAGTGGGAAATCAAGACCTCTGGGTGGAGTATCTGGAGAAGGAATATCGGAATGGGGGTTAATCATGAAGAGTAGGGTAACTTCTTCTTTGATGATTTCGTTTTGGATACAGACTGATGTGTGTGACGCCGAAGTTTGGTTGCCGTGTGCTGGACCAAGGATGAGCCATATCCACACGAGTCACTTGGGACTTCGAGATAGAAATGAAAAGCATCTACATACAACCATACCTACTCCCAGCCTAATAGTGACGCTTCAACATGTTTTGCATAACGCGCTTTGCCCTTGAACCACCCGGAAGGTTCATGTCAAACATACCACTCGCAACAGCCTGCCTCTGTAACGACTCACCAGCATCGCGCAGCCGAATCCAACTCTCCTCATCCTCCTGCATAGCAGCCACATTCGCACTCCCCAAAGTAGGGTCGTAGAAAGGACTATCCGGATCCGTTGAGTTGAGACTGTACTCACTGGGTGGCGGTACACACACCGTCCCTGGCGACGGCAGCTCACCCGTCTGAAAATACGTGTTCACGCGACTCAAGATGCACGGGTCGGGTGCCGACATCGAACAATGTCCTGCGTGATCGCCAATCATAAGGCTGCTTCCAGGGAATAGACTATGCATATAGCGTCCGCTGCGAAGAGGTGTAACCGGGTCTGCTGTATTGCTGACAAAGAGGATAGGATGCGATGTGTTTGCACCCCAAGGACCGTCAAACTTGTAGCTAGCTTTGATCTTCCAAGAGGCACATTGCATCAGTAGCATGGACCAGTAGGAACCAAAGTTTGGCGAAACTTCGTCCATGATATCCCAATATGCGGCGAACTCTTCTTTAGTCAGATGGGTTTGGTCGATTCCGTCGCTGCATAGGATGGCTGTCGTGGAAACAGGGGAACTTGGCTGTTCGAGTGGTTCGCTGCCATCGACAGGACAAGAGAATACGTGGTTGTAGCGCAAGGTTCCGGCGATCTCGTTGATTTCTCTACCAACTCCTTGTTCAATGGCAGATAGGCTGGCGGCTACGAACTCAAATGTGAGGCGCGGCTGGTACGTAGCGCTGAAGAGAATTAACTTGATGGTGGACCAAGTGAGGAGTTCTGGGCCTTCTGCCGAGACGACGGGAAGCGGATTGTGGTATAGCGATGCGATAATTTTTTGTGTGCGCTCCTCTATGTCGAGAACACTTGAGTTGGCGGTGGCTAGAGGACATCTATTGGGTCCCACATTGTAGCAGAACGTATAGAAAGAAGTCATGGCCTTTTCGACGTCTACAAGACTTCCGTTACCCATCGAGTGGGTGTAGTCGTACGAACTCACGACTCCATCGAGGATGATACGTCCAACACGGTCCGGGAACATGGACGCAAACGTGGACCCAAGGAAAGTCCCGTAGGAAAAGCCCAAGTACTGTAGCTTACTTTCTCCAGGAACATATGTGGATTGATGGCACCCAAGACGCTTGCCAGCCTTTTGTGCGACCTTTTGAGCGACTTCCTTTGCCACATATTCGGCATGCCTCTCGGTGATCTCCAACATGTCTCTGGCAACAAACGCCGTCGACATGTACTGCTTAATATCCGGTCCCTCTTGTTTCTCCTCAGCAAGCTTACAAGATGCGCCAAAGGCGTGTTGCATGGACCAAAGTCTACCAAGGGCTGCATCTGAGCTTCCAACAAGGCCCTCGGTCTCTTCCCTCAAACTCCAAGAGAACGCGGAAGGCTGATTTGGCATGCATCGAGCGACTGGCTCTGTCCAACCGATTCCACGAGGGTCGAAGCCGATGATGTCGAAGTATCTTGCGTCAGGCGATGGGGTGAAAGTCTCAACGTTAGAGTCTATGATCTGTTGTAGCCCTCCTGCTAAGAAGAGCGCAACTGATGTACCTGATCCTCCGGGCCCGCCAGGGTTGAACAAGACCGGGCCACCATACCGGGGATCATCTACGGATACTTTGGCGGGTAGCTTGACGATAGCGATGCTCACAGTATGATCAGGGTAGGTCCCGTTGAAGTAGTCCAGTGGCAGGCTCAGTTTTGCGCATTCAAATTGGCCAAAGCATTTGTGGAATTCTAGATGCTCACTCGGTGTGATCTGGAGCTTGGTCAGTCTTGCATCCACCAGTCGATATTATGATGCTGAAGCAGGCTTGTTAAACTAATTTGTAGAGAGCTGCGGTTCGCTTATGTTGATACGGTGCTGGGACTTGGGTCCGAGCGACATGTTGGTGAGCCGGAATGGGATCTGGTCAGGCCACCAATCAGGATCAGACTTTTCATTGAGCCTTTTGATGACGAAGGTCGTCTGTGGTGCTCCGGCATGCGCCCAAGACATCTCCCGGAAGTAGAGTAACCACCTGCTGTGCGACTTGGATCGAGGCTATCATTCGATCTGATAAGATGCGGGCCAGGGTGGCTGCAGAACCACGTGTGCGGTGCGACGCTCAGGAAACACTCTCTCAACATACCTCGGACCACTCAAAAGCAGCATCATGCAACGCAGGCTCAATGTCTAGAAATGAGGACAGATCCCAGTTCTTCAATTCAGGGAAGATGGTATCCACTGCCGCGAGGCACACGAGTGTGACGAAGGTCGCAGAAAGCAGTGCACGCCACCGCGTCGGGGTCCGTCCAGGCTTGACCGGCGCCGTCGCATCCTCCAGCCCGTTCCAACTCTTCATGATGTACTCGAAGTCGTTCCAGCCGGCTGAAGAACAAGCAAAATAAATGCGATGAAGTATTGGATATCCGCGAGTCGTTGAATAGTAGAAGACGGGTGTGGAGGGGTCGTCTGTCAGCGTGCATCCTCAGCCCAAGACATTCGACGTCGCATCCTGGCGCCTGACGCCAAAAGTGAAGATCACCTCAGGCAGCAGCAAAGCACTCGAGGATGCGGAAGTGTGTGCGCGAGGACTATACAAAACGCAGCACGGAGTGCGCCTGACTCCCCGCAGACAGCCCAGCTATCGCTTGCAGAAACCTGCCTTTCTACTCTGCGTTGGTGCTGCAGCTGCAGTAGGACTGGCCGGCGGCTATGTATGCAATATGCAGACGTGGTCACAATGCGCTGCCTTGGCTGCTGAATTTTCCATGTGCAGAAAGCGAGACTAGTGCGTGCGATTAAGTAATGGGTTAGTTGCCGTCGAGATTATCCATGTGTTGGGGGGTGAGGAGAATTGGCATCGCCACGAACCTGCGTCTTGTGGAGGGACCCGTTAGACCGCAGAGCCTCATCGCAACAGCGGTAATGTGATCTCATTGATCCCCAGGAAGAAGGCACCGATCCAGCTGTTGTACCCGTTTGCGAGGCGAGTGTGAGTGAGCATGCTTGCTTTTGGAATGCGGTGTAATCTGCTTTTTGCTGACATGTCTCTTGGTAGAGTTCAAGGTTACATTGAAATGACACAGCTTTTGGGTAGGTAGCAAGCCACCATGACTACGAAGAGCCCGTAAGGAAAGTGCACAAAGAACGGGAACCCTCATAGCGCGACAAGTACAGAGTAGCAGCACCTCCTGATTCAATGGGTATCTCATCTCTCAGTACCAACCACCTCTACTGCCATTAAACATGATATGAAACGTCCATGTGAATGATGATGCTCATTCGAGGAGGAGCAGTGTCGGCTAACGTCCAAAAGATCTCCATCGTGTAAAGCCAGCTCCAATCCCAGGAGCGTTCTTGCCCTCAACTGGAAAGTTCGTACCTTTGGTCATTCTGAGAGCACAGGACTGTAGGACGTGGGTCCGCCGAGGTGTTTACCATTGCTGGCCACCACCTTGGCCACCCTCTTGACCACCACCGTAACCGCCCTGACCGCCGCCCTGACCGCCACCGTAGCCGCCGCGAGACTGGTATCCGCCGCCGCCGCCGCCTTGAGAAGGTCCCCAAGAGCCGCCGCCCTGGCCGCCGCCGCCGTAGCCTTTTCATCAAGTTAGTATCTCACTACGAATAGAACGATGACATGTGCTTACCACGGTCGCCGCCACCGTAGCCTGGGGATATAGTTAGTATAGAGCCACGATGAGTAGGAGATGAGAAGCTTACCTCCTCCTTGTCCACCACCGTAACCTCCACGGTATCCGCCGCCACCGCCTCCGTAGCCACCGCCGCGAGGAGCACCACCGCCAGCGCGGTCGGAGGCCTTGTCGACGCGAATCCTACGTCCGTCGAATCTGGGAGAGTCAGAAGTGTCCACTGTTGGATGGTACGTGAAGGCAGAAAAGACGTACTCCTCGTTGTTCATGGCCTGCATAGCGGCATCGGCCTCGGTGTCCTGGGCATAGCGAACAAAGCCAAAGCCTCGGCTGCGGCCAGTATCGCGGTCCTTAACCACGACCTGTGACGATGTGAGCATGGACTCGACCTTGGCGACGACATTCGTCGAGTAGCGTGTCACTTACGGCTTCTTCGACTTGACCGAACTCCTCGAACTTTTGACGGAGAGCTTGGTCGTCGGTGTGCCATGCGAGGCCTCTGTTCAGGGTCAGTCGCGGTCGCGGTATGGGAAGGCTGCGTACTTACCCAATGAAGAGCTTAGACATGGTGAGAGTGATGTCTGGGTCGAACACTGAACGGTCTCAATACTAGCTCTCGCAACTCGAAACAAGGCGCGCGATACAAGGAAGCTCAAGACAGGTAGTGACAGGAGTTGTAGAGTGAAGGAAAAGTGCAGGAAGGCGAGGAATCCATCGCGGCTTCCCGGGCAGGCAGTATGTAGCAACGTGACGGAACGAACATTTGATCTTGTAGCACCAGGCTGTATTGGTGATGATGGCGCAAGCGATTGCTCTGAAGAGTTAGAGGAGGGAGAGTCGGCTGCAGGCTGTCGCAAGAAAGTGATGGCACAGGGTGAGGAGCAGAGATAGTGAAGCGTCTAGGTTGGCGGGGCAAGCGACGATATGAGTACCCCTCCACCAGGTGAAAGAGCGCTAGGCTGCAAGCAAGTAATAGGTTGCGCGCACGGACTGGAGGGCTGAGGGCCCGGTTTATAAAGCGACGTGGATGGCCACGAGCGACGGGGTGCAATGTGTCTCTCCAGCCAGTCGAGCCAGTCAAGCCAAGGGGTCTGGTAGTTCGGACCTGGGCTGCAGGCAGGCAAACGGAACTGGCCCCTCGCAGCTAGCCGGTCCCAATGCCTTGTCTAGGAGCCCGCACCTGACGATGGACAGGGTGCAGATACTGGTTCTGCCATACATGTCGGCTGGCTGGCTCCCTAGCCTGTCCCGTGTCTGTCTGTTCATGCTGGGTATATGCAGCCCACGTTAGCCTGAGACCGGGGAGGCCCAATTGCAGGGCCCTTGACGAGCCAGAGAAAACGATTTTTTTGATAGGTGCATCGATCCATCGTCGTGCTCAGAGTGCCGGCAGGAGTGCGGCGGCGTCATTGGGCCACTGCGAAATACGTGCATGGACAAGCCTGCGGATAGACAGATTGCGTGCTCGAGACAGCAGCGATCTGCGCCCATGGCTACAGCAAGACTATCGGGCTGTGACGAAAAGGTCAATGGCGGACAGGTATTGGACAGAAGATGGTGGTTCAAAGAAGCTTATCAGAGTCGCCATCCTTAGTCTGACGGTGTGGGGATCGGGTCTAACTAACTTCCAGGCCCTCCATGGCTCTGCATCCCGAACTGGCTCGTGCGCGCGACGTCAAGATGTAGCAAGCTGAGCGTGCTTAATGAGACGACTGCTCGCACTTATACGACCGAAGTCCATTGCGCTGAGACAGGCCAGAATGTCCCATCAATCACATACTACACAGTCGTCACCATCGGATACAGAAAGCGGGCAAATCGGCAGTGTTTACCGAAATATACCGAGGCAGCGCGGACTGAACCGATCCATCTGTGTTCATTCTGCGTATCTCCAAGCAAGTCGGCGACGAGAAGCTATCGCAGCCATTTCCCTGCGATAGCGGCACAGCGCATGCGGCAGCACGATGCACGGTGCCAAGACGTCTCGCTCTCGGGGACCGATTCTATGGCAATACCATCCATCCAATGATATGAGCATCTTGCAGCCCGAATAGAAGTAAGGAGAGGAACAGACACGACAGACACGGCCTCATTTCCACACCGTGAAGGTTGAAGGGTTGACGATGCACTGGCGTCATCAATGCATCGTGCCTTCCTCCAGCAATGCAGTGGCTTCGGCGATGCCGGCAACCTCACAATGGCAGCACCTACTGCACCTGCCATTTCTCTGTCTGGCTGCTTGACGTAGCCTATCAGGTAGCTGCAACATCCAGATGAGACCTGGTCACCTTGAAGGTCTCTCAGATTGCCGTCACACAAGCAACTGAGCGACTATCACGACGATCTGCTGTCTGGCCCCTCGAGCATCTCAGACCCACCAGACTTGCGAGGCGAACCAGACTCCGTTAACGGCACGGCTCGTCTAGGATGCAGGACAGCATGGACATACGAAAGTGGCTAGACGAGACAGTGCAACCGGAAGCACCGCGCGAGCCCAATAACCTTCATCAGACCGCAGAGCCTGCTAAACGGAAGCGCCGCCGCAGATCAGACAGCTCCCTCCTCGATCCCCGTCCGCCTGCATCCTCTCCGCATAAGCCAGCGGAGGATAGTGCTGACGAGGCGCTCCAGGCGACATGCAGCGACAGCTCTAGCAGCAGCCGATATGCGCGCAAACCTCGTAGAAAGACGCGTCCAGAGCGGTATGAGCCACAGTATGCGCCAGGTCCCCATGCCCATCGCGATCGTAAGGACAAATCAAAGAAGTCGCGACGCAAGCCTCGACGCAAGAAGGGCGAGAAGGCACCTGGTGTTATGCAGACCTTCCAGGCAACGAACATGTCTGGGGATCGGCTGACCGTAAGATGTCTATGCGGTCGCCTGGAACATACAGTATGGTGTTGACGATTGGACTAGTTGAAGCCACGGGAGCAGCTAGGCCTCTTCAACAAGGGACGGACATCTACTGCAATCAAGGGCCGCGGGTGTAAGTGATTCACTCCCCTTCCTACAGCCTGAATGACATCTTCCTGTACGTCTTCCCCGCATTACCCAGCTGACGTGTCGCAGTGCCCGATCTGGTGTTCTCGGAGATGAAGTTCCTGCAGCAGCACAAAGACGAACCAGAGCCTGTCCCTCGAACCGACGCGTCCAAAAAGAAACGCAAGAAGGACAATGAACAGATGAAGGAAGGAGAGATCTCCGCTTTCTTTACCTCAGCGCGACCGGCATTGGTCGACAAGGACACAAACACCCCACCGCAGCATCCTGTACCAAAAGCTAAGCGGCGTCGTCGTGATCAATCCTCGGTAGATGACACTGCTATACCTACTGTTGAGGCTACAGGCCAAGCCTCATATTTAGGTTTTGGAAGTAGAGGCCCTCGCCATGAGAGTAATAGCTACGTTTCTTGGTCAGAGTCAATTCGAGCGCCTAGCACGGCGCCCGCACGCCCTCACATATCTCACATACGTACCAGTTCGCGCGATGTAGACTGTCATAGTGAGTTCGAAACCAGAAATGCAGATGAGAGTAGCTTCAAACTACCAGCCCGACCCCCTCCAGTGACGAAGGAAAGAACCGATAGCACGCCTGCCGAGCGCTTCAGGGTTTCGTCATTGGCTCCATCACATGGCAGAGCTTCGAGATCACAGTCCTTCCCGCAACACACTTCGTCCCCGCGACGACCGAACCTCGTCGACCGATCTGCGAACCCACGTGCGGCTGACAATATACATTCGCCTTCGTCAATGCCACCGTCTGCGCCCAAGCATGCTATGGGCACGCATCGTACTCAGCTACCCAGCTCCTCGAAGAATAATCGATCAGACTCGACTCCAGTCTCTGGGATGACTGCTCCATCCGGGTATGGACAGGAGAACCAGCATAGCGAATACAGTCCTGCTGGAGAAGGAAGAATACCGACATCTTCTGACTTGGGGGTGGTTTTGCGGCATTGCAACGATACCTTCCACGAACGACGTCTGGCAATAGGGTCGCGGAGGAGACACAACGAGGAGGCGCACCCATCGTGTCCACAGTCGAACCTGCGGCAGAGTACGAGAGACACTTATCATGCAGCTCAGCAGGGTCCCACTGTACGCTTCGCGGATCAGTCTCACTATAGACCAGTGATGCCCAATTTTGCTGGCCCGAGCATTTACGAACAACAAGCACAGCGTCAGCGATCTCATATGCAACGGGATCGCGAAGAAGAATCTCTCCAAAGTCCATACCTCTTCGAAGAAAACAACCTGGACCAAGGATATCAAATGGAATACGATGACGGGATGGAGCATGATGATGAGAACTGGGTAGGGCTCTTAGAAGAGCCCCTGTCGTATGGCCTTGATGGTGATTCTGACATGTACGGCGGTATCGAAGCACACACAGGAACTGAAATTGAGCTGGTCCAGAATTCGAGACCAGAAAACGACACGGTGGCTCCTGGATTTTGGCGGCCGAATAAGTTGTACTGATGTTGAGGTGGGTGGCTAGCTGGCAGCCACATAGCGCATTAGCGGCAACTTTGTTTTTTCGCGATTAGAAGAGGTCCTGAATAGCGAGACGTGAAGCCTGCAGTTATCCCAAGAAGCTCAAATGACGAGGAAAGACATGTGACTGCAATCTGATTCATGACAATTTGACGAAGCTCAGAAATCGATAGCGACAAGCTGCCTCGGTGTCCGTGCATAAAAAGTTGGAGCTTCCGGTCTCCGCTCCCGTACCTTGCGGACGTTTTCTGATCCTCGGTCTGGGCTTCGCATGAGAGGAGAATCGGCTGCGCTTCCATCTGGTAGTTTACTAAACGGGTGCCATCTGCATGCTCATCCATCAATCGTTGTTGCGGCTCTGTCCCGCCCAGAGATTGATCACCAGGTCGAAGCCCCCCTTCCCTACCGCGACGGCTGTCCCATGCAGACAGTCGGCGGTGACGTTTGTCACAGTGGCGCCTTCCCAACACAGCTCCCCGCCTGCGAGCCCCACTAGTAGACCCCTCAACGACAAAATCAACTCTAGGGCTCGTCTACTTGCAGGCCATCTCAACTCCACAGCTTCTTCTTCCACAGCCATCCACACAGCTGCCACGAAGACCCCATCCACCATGTCTTACACCACCCGCAAGGTTGGCGCTGCCAACACCCTCGAGCACCGCGTCTACATCGAGAAGGACGGCCAGCTCGTCTCGCCATGGCACGACATCCCGCTCTACGCCAACGAGCAGCAGACCATCCTCAACATGGTTGTTGAGGTGCCCCGCTGGACCAACGCGAAGATGGAGGTGCGTCGGCCCCAATTGGCTGCGCCGTGGCCTGTGTACGGCTGCGCGAAACGAAAGACGCTGACTGTCGCTACAGATCTCCAAGGAGGAGCAGCTCAACCCCATCAAGCAGGACACCAAGAAGGGCAAGCTCCGCTTCGTGCGCAACTGCTTCCCCCACAAGGGCTACCTATGGAACTACGGTGCCTTCCCTCAGGTACGCTGATGCGACACCGATATCGGACAATACACAAATGCTGATGCTGTACAGACTTGGGAGGACCCCAACGTTGTCCACCAGGAGACCAAGGCCAAGGGTGACAACGACCCATTGGACGTCTGCGAGATTGGCGAGCTTGTCGCCAAGCCTGGTGAGGTCATTCAGGTCAAGGTCCTCGGTGTCATGGCTCTGCTCGACGAGGGCGAGACCGACTGGAAGATCATGGTCATCAACGTCAACGACCCGTTGGCCCCTAAGCTCAACGATGTCGAGGACGTCGAGCGCCACCTGCCCGGCCTTCTCCGCGCCACAAACGAGTGGTTCCGTATCTACAAGATCCCAGACGGCAAGCCCGAGAACCAGTTCGCCTTCTCCGGCGAGTGCAAGAACAAGAAGTACGCCATGGACATTGTCCGCGAGTGTGCCGAGGCCTGGGAGAAGCTTGTCACTGGCAAGACCCCCAAGGACGAGATCAGCCTGTGAGTAGTGGCCAGCCTACCGTGAATGATTTGTACTGACCAAGCTCCAGCACCAACACCACCGTCTCGCACTCTCCCGACCGCACCGATGCCAGCTCGCTCAACGTTCCCCAGGGCGAGAACAAGGCACCTGCCCCCATCGATGGCAGCATCGACAAGTGGTTCTACATCTCCGGTGCCCCGTCCAACTAGATTTAACGGGAGCCGTGATGAGCACAAAAGTCTGGATATCATTGGAGCATGGGAATGACTGTAGATGATAGATAAACGTGCATGATTAACGCCGACCAACGACGGTATATGGACCCATGAGGAATATCATCAATGCCTCGTCTCAGCCCAACCCAGAATATTGCCGTGACGCCGACTGTCGCTCCGTGTCTTGATACATATGTACATTCATCTCTTCATGCTGAAGCCTCAATTGCCTGCCAACTCGTCTTTACGAGCCAATGACCGTGAATGTCTGTCCACTTCTTCGACGACTTGTGTTATGCGCATGTTGCTAAGGTCGAGGTTCATCTCCTTGCCATCCTCTACACGGATGTTAGCTTTTGCTCGAGGTGCACCGAAAGTGTACGTACTGAACTTGACGCCCAAACTAGCAGGCTCTTTGCTGTCTCGCGGCAGCATCTTGGACTCAATCTTCATGCCATCTGCACGTGCGTTCGGTGGTATTAACGAGAGGAAGAGGCGGGCGGGCTTCGAGCGCGGGGAGAAGGGATTGAAGGTAACGCGGACGTCGGTCAGGAATCTGGTGATCATTGCGGCGATGGAGAACGGAGGAGCTGGCGATGCAGACTATGGCTTGTTAGAGGATACACACGATGAATAGATGCGACTACTTACCAATAAGCGGTGATTCGGGAATGCGCTGCAATTGAAGTTCCACGCTCGTCGCAACCTCTTCGCGATATGTCTGTGCTCAAGATTCTCTGCGGGCCACGCTACAGCTAGCCATCCAGACACGTTGCGCTCTTCCACCCCGCCAAACGGCCCACCGTAGCCATCTCCGTCATAGGCCATCTGCATACATCGACCAAACTCTCTCCGCATTCCGAGCCACCATGGCACCCCTCCCCTCCACCACGCACACTCTCACCACCCGCCTAAGCGCCCTCTCCGAAGCCAACAAAGGCGTCGGCCAACTTATCCAACGACTAGCCAAGCTAGACTTCCAGCCAGGTTCGCAACCACTCGACAATCCCGACGAAGGCGACGTAAGGTTGGAACTCAGTGCCGAGATACACGAGACTCTGAAGGGCATCGAGGAGGAGCTTGAACTCCTGCGGCAAGAGGTCGAGGACGTTACGTCACAAGGAGGCATTACAGGAAGAAGGCGGGATAGCAGCAAAGACAGCGAAAGGAGTAGACTTGCCGTACTACTTGCGAGATTGACCGAGGACTTGAAGTTGTGAGTGATGCATTCCCCGCTTACCGTGTTCTCTGTTATGGCATGCTAACCCTACGTCCCTGCAGATCGCGATCACAGTATCGGAAAGCGCAACTCACAGCCAAGCACAACGCCGACCGCGCAAAGCTCAAAGAACGCGAACTCCTCTTTTCCAACCTACAATCAGGCTCCTCTACCCCATCTTCCACATATCGCCAGAGAAAGCAACAACAAGGGCTATCGGAAGGCGAAGTCGTCGCGCAGGCTTCTTCAGACGTCACATCTGCTCTGCGCCGGACAGCCCAGTTGATGAAAGACGAGCTATCACGCTCACGATTCGCACAAGAAACACTCGAACAGACAAACGCCGCATTACAAGATCTTGGGGAGCAGTACTCAGACCTAAACACACTACTAGCCAACAGCAAGAACTTGGTCTCGACACTCCTTAAGAGCACAAAGAGCGACACGTGGTATCTTGAGACCACCTTCTACATCCTCATAACAACTATCATCTGGCTCGTCTTCCGCCGCTGGTTATACGGACCGCTCACCTGGTTCATCATCTGGCCGGTCAAACTTACCTTCCGCATCCTTTTCGCCGTCCTACCCTTCGGCGCCGCATCCTCAGCCGCATCCTCGAGCGTCGCGGTATCCTCGTCCTCAAGAACCCTCATCGTCCAGCCGAGCGCAACAGGTGGCATACCCCGACGTGAACCCAACGCCCAAGGACACTACATACCTGTTGGTCGCGGAGGCGGAGTGAATCGACAAGGACAAGATCCTAGTCCACAAGGCTCATATTCGCAGCAAGTAGGTAAGATGGCGGAACAGAACCAACAGCAGCAGCAGGAAGAAGTGCCTGATCACCCTCAGTTCAGACATTCGAGGAAGGATGAAGACGAGGGACCGGTCACACTAGGCGACGGGACTGTATTACAGGAGAGCGATAAGCCTAGAAATCCAAAGAAGAAGATGTGGGAGGAGGATGTGGAAAGTGCGAAGCGTGACGAGGCGCAGGCGCAGGAAACACCGGCACAACAGGAAGGAAGTGGACAAAGGCGGAAGAGAGATGAGCTATGAGCTGCGAAATCACAATTGGGTACGTAGACTTGAAGATATTCTATGATAATGGCTATCATCGTTATTCTATCCCCATCATCATCACGCCGTTTAGTATCTGTTTTTGAAGCATGCGGTGACTGCGCGTTAGCAGCTCTGCGCTATATAAACCCCTTTTCGTTTCAATCTTTCCTTACTTCTCTTACCACTACTAAAAACTCATCTTCTTCAAAACTGGCAAGAATTGGTTCTATGGTTCTGGCTCCAAAACGGCAACAAGCGGCGACATGTGTGTCTCGCTGGCTGCGCTCTTTGCTCAATTTAAAAAAAACAAGTTTCGACTCCATGACTGCGTCGGTCCATTCCTCGAAAATTCTAAAAACATCTGCAACATCTGTTAATGGCTGCACTTGTGCAGCGAAACTCCAAAAATATACCGATTCGCTTTATGTCTTGTCGAGTTGCCCGCTGCGTGTTACCAAAACTTCGAGAACCAGATCCAATGACCTGTTCCTCCTTTCCCGAAATGAAGATATACCCTGACTATGTCACAAAACTATGCCAACTCTGCATATGGCTTTGTTCTGGGTGCGTTCTAAAAAGAATACAGCTAGATGCGTGATGGATTTGCTCGTCTCCTCGAAACAGGCAACGGCAGTCCGCATGTTCGTCCTCCTGGTCAGAAAGATACATACGAGGATGCTATGTGTTTTTGTCTTTTTGTCAGAAAGTACCAAATGCACCGACTCATGGTGTCTGGCTCGATTTTCTGGGCCTCGCGAGAGTGTAAGATCTACAGCTGTTGATCTGTAGCTTCTTCCTTCCAACTACCTTCTCCAGGGCTTTTACTCCTAAAACATAAAAGGCTGGAACCCATGAGTTTTTCCAAAGCTTCACGCAAGATGACCTATGTGCGTCTTTGCTCCTCTGCCTTCAAACCCAGGGCGATCGATGCTCTACTCGCTTGTATCAAAAGCAAACGCTCGCTCTTGCTATGAGTCTTTCCTCTGCTGTCTCAAAACTATGCAATCTAAAAGACATGGAGCTGACGAGTCTCCCTTTGCAATTCATGAAAGTCGCTGGCCTCGTGCGTCCTTCCTTCTGTTCACTCTTGCACAAAATGCAATATCAAAAACTCGGAAATTGGACTAATGACTAGACATTGAAAAGGCATGCGGCCATGCAAATGCTTCTGTCTCCGCAAATGGTCCAGAAGGCTACTGCAGCCGCGTCACCACGAGTCGCCGGTGAATTCGAAATATCTCAACAAAGGCACATGGGGCTCTTCTATCAAATTCTCCTGAAGATTTGCAGAATACAATCAGATGGGACGAATGTAACTTAAATACGACCTGGAGCAATAAGAAGAATGCATCTTGTCACGACTAGGGCTTATCTCCACATACCACTTGCATAACTTGAGAAGTGGCACTAATTGCGAGCGCTGACGGGACGAAGAGGCCGAGAAAGTATAAAATCAACGATCTTTTACAAAGCTTAGTCTAAGATCAGATAGTCGGAAGATTAGAATAACTAAAATAGATAATAGGCGTCAGAAGATTGAGGAACTAGAAACCTGGCAGCCGGTCGTTACTCAATAAGGAGCCACTTCCACGGACCTTCGGGCTGCTCCTCCACCTCGTTCCACCGAGGATTCTTTTCAGTCCCCTTTAGCGCCTGGATTTCCGGTATATCTTCTCCAAAATTCATCCTCTCTTTCAAGTAATCCCAGAACTTGAAAGCCTCACCCTTCATCATGTCATGCATGTAACATTCTCCAACAGGGCGCCATGTATCCGCATATCTTTTGGACGGTCTCAGTAGGACAGGGTGTGTATTGCCACTGATAATGAAGACATGATCTCCAACCTTTGCATGCATCGGTGCCATGCCAAAGAGGCCCCTACAGGTTGTGAACAGACGTTGTCCTTGGGCACAGTTCATCATATAGTCCGTCCTGCGTATGTCGTCCCGTGACTGTCCATCTTCTGGTCCATTCCTTCCGAAATCACCTTGACCGACCTTATAGGCCTGACCAAGTGCTGCATACATGGCTTTGTATTCACTGTAATCCATCTCCTTCAGAGCCCCTTCTTGATCACCTGGTGCACAATCCCAGACCAGGATTCTCTTGACCATTTCTTCCCTGTTCAACCCCGATCTGAAATATTCGGTTTCAGACAGAAACCATTTTATGAGGTCCTGGTTCGTATCATGCAGGATCAAAGGCGAGTCAGGAGTAATCTTCCGGTAATCGCTCATGGCAAAGATATCAAGAAGGACCCCTTTCAGGCAGATTGTGTTCGAGCTGAGTCGTCGAAGGTAGAACGGGTTGCTCATGGACGCGTTGTACATTTTCTCTCGGACAAGACGTAGGTTTTCTCCATATGACTGCTTGTGGTGCAGTCTCCAGTCGGAACCCAGGAAGGAAGACCAGGACTAGTCGTCTTGTTTTGCCATCCGACAAAGTTGAACATCATCAGACACTGAGCAGCCTTGATCATGTTGTAAGTAACTTCAGTGTAGATCTCTTCTACACTCGACATCAGTGACGGTTGCATCTCTGGGTTCGCGGCAATGCTCGGCGGTAGAAGACCATACAACGCATATAGTCTGTCTTGATCGAATGTAGCGTTCCTGTTACGAACCAGATGGGCGACAGATGACCATTTCATGGCGGCCTCCTTGATATTGGAACTGCTACTACTGCTGTCCCTGAGACTCTCTACCCCACATAGCTCGCGCACCTGAGCAACGAGAGCTACTGATTCGAATTGTTTCAGATAGTCGCGATAGTTTTGGAAGACCTCTCCCACACACCCATGGTATGTACTCCCTAGGAATGCGTTTGTGTTGTGATAGGCAGCAACGAGGATCTCCCAATCCAACTCGCTGTCACCTTTCTGGAATACGACTTGGCGACCAAGTGCAACCTCCTGCACGACCCACAGTCGAGTCCACCAAGCTGTCTTGAAGAAGTTCATGACGGCCTGGTATTGGTTGAACCTCCTTATTATCAAAATTGCGGTACCCGGATTGTCCATTTTGAGCAGAATGTCGAGCAGGAGACCCTGTTCGGCAAAATCTTGCAAGGTATCATAGTAACTATCGTGTCGCAGGAGCTCTTCCAAACCATTACCAGACGCATGTCTCTTTAGGATTGCGATAACATCTTCGTCCTGCTCCCGTGCAGCACCCAGCCATACACGAACACTGCTGGCTTTCGAATATATGTAGCCCATCATCTGCACCTGCGAGATCCTCTCATTTTTGTCCTGCTGGTTGATGCAGATGGCATCAATCCAAAGCACGCGCTCGTGATCGTTCTTGCGCAGCGCGTGGAGTGCGACCCAAGAGTTGAGTGGAACGGTAAACGTCTCGCCGTCCAGCATCAATTCTTTTCGGGCATTAGGATCGCCCCATACATAAGACAGAGCTTCATATTCTGGGTCGTCGTTCAGTGAGACCTGCTTCAGATGGGCCTCAACTTGGGCATCGTTGTGTGCGCTAGGCTTGAGTATCAACAGCCTGATTTCGTTGACCGAGGCATCGAGCGCCCTGTACAAGCTCGGCATCTCGATAGGTGAAAACAAATTATTGAATGAGTAACGCTTCAGGCAAAATGCAATCTGTTGGGACTGAGAATGCGTATCAGGTGTTACCTAGGTATGCTGAGTGAATTGATCAGATTGCTACCGAGAAGATCATGTGGAAAAATCAGGTTACGTACCTGGTCAAAACCCTGATCGCTTACCCATGATCATGATGTTAATAGACCATCTCAAACGTCTTTGATAGGTGGTAGGGCGATACGATGCAGCCCTGAAATGATTACACAGTTGGCGATCTGACGTCATATTACCTAGGTATGCCACTAGCCAAACGGGGCGCATTCTGCTTTGATACTAGGCTGCCATCCACGTCTTCTCGCAGGTGCTTTGCAGGCTGTTGATCGCGTCGATGCTCAACGTGTGTCAGCTGCTGAGCAGAGAAAGTACCTAGGTAATTACGTGATAATCCAAGTAAGGTTCCCGAAATACGCCATCAGCAGCGTGACCTCGGGATTGTGTAAGACGAACTACAAAGGAGATTAAACCACTTCATCTCCACTTGGTCTGTTTCTGGGTGTATGAAGACTTACTCTATCCAATCTTATTCAGGCATGGTGTATCGCATTTAACAGGACAATAGTTAAGGTAAGCCTGATTCACGTCAATGGTCTTCCAACCAATACTCGCAGAACTCTTCAGTCTTTGGTGCAGATCATCTACAGGGTAACATATGCCCCATTCTCACTCCCGCCCTTTTTCCAACGACGCGCACACCGTGGTGTTTTATTTCCCAGATTTCACATCAGGAACAACCATTCATCGTCCACCAGGAAGTATGATTGAGGAAGCGGATGAGCAGGAATAGCTGCGCTGCAGAAGTGAAACGTTTTCGCCAGCATGTTTTCAAGGAAGCTGACATCTGTGTAGCATGCTCTAATGAGACGGTCGTTCCGTTCAATCGCTGCTAACGTGTAACGTAAGATTCAACGACTAGCCGGATGCTTCATTAGCGACCTAGAGTGAACTGCGGGATTTGCACTTTTCCAAAGCAATTCGAAGTGGTTATATTCAGTCATTTCAACCTTGGAAGTTCAAACGACGCTCAGGTCTTAGAACGGGTGCTAGCTAGAGCGTCAAACTTGTGCGGCGTACGTACACCCATAATAGTTTGAACTAACTTGGCATCTGCATAAAAGCGGCACGGCTGCATACACTTGGTGATCTGGCTTCTCTTGCCACCTAACTTGATCACTGCCTCGCGAATCTCATCGCCACCATGGAGCCCATCTACTCGCGTGATGAGTGCATCGCCGCGGTCCACGACTTCTACGACTTCTTGGGAAAGATGTTCATGGATGTGCCCGCGTCCATCATCTACCCACCTCCCGGCGGTTGGCCCAACATGACTCCCGAAGTCGCGGATCGTCTAGGCAAGGATCCAGAAATCATCAATCTGCTACGCCATCTGCCATTTCCTGATGACCAGCCTTACACAGCACGGCCGCACTGTTTGCCAGGCACCCGGTTCCACGCCTGGACGAAGGCAGTGGACGAGCTGAAGGAGCAGGGAGACGCAGAGAGAGAAGATCTACTAATCGAGACGGAGAGCCATGAAGACCAGTTCGGCGGCATGATTCCCAAATACTGCATCGGTCTTACGTACGCTCTCAACATCAGCGAATACGTGATGCTGTTGGACGTCAGAACTGGGCTGGTATATTGGATGGACTGCCCGGAGGAGATTATCAAGGCGTGCGATCCTCAGCCATCACGTCTGGTGTACCCTTTGGAGGGGGAAGTAAAGGAGGAACCAGATAAAAGCGTCGTTGTTGTACAGGAGGAAGAGGATGATGTCGAAGCTTCAGACGACAACAGCGAGAACGAAACGCCTCCGACATCCGATGACGGTAGTGACGACGAGAACGATGGGTCTGTTGATTTCGAGGACGACGATGATGATGACGATGACTCGATGGACGTGGAGTGGGGACCCTGCTGGCCGGTCCGCCACTTCTTCGCCATGTTGAAGAACCACTATATCAAGCTGAACTTCATCCCGCATAGCAGTCATCGTGTCGTTCAAATCTGGACGAAGCGATATACTGACCACGACCGAATTCCTGAAGGGTTTGCAGAGTTTTTACAGTCCATATATCACAAACATGGGTGGCCTAATTTGGAAGTCTATCAGAAAGAAGCATGCATGGCAGAGCTCGAGAAAGCAACAGGAACAGAAGGTACCAAATATTACTACCTGGAACAGTACTTCCAAAATCGCGAATATTAGAAGAAGAGGTGGGGATCAAATTACGGATCGAACGCGGCGTAACATGTACCATTGGTACGCAATGCCGAATAAATAACCTACTGCGGTTCCTTTCGGCGATGTGCACCGTTTTTCTCTCTTCTTCAAAGCCACTGCCTGACCCTGCATGTCCAATGGAACCCTTGACCTAAATCAATGAAAGTAACCCACATTGTGGCTGTGAGTGGCCGTGCAGCTGTCAGGAACTCATAGGCAGCATGTATATGCACCGTTATATGAGAATGTAATTGCGTAATTCAGAAAATTACTGCCACTGCCTCTACAGTACGGATCTTCAGCTACTGTCTCTTGTAGTAGATCCTATACCCTTAAACGACTACACTAGTCCCGACTAAACTATTTAACTAAATCGCACACCCTAATAATCTTTAATCTCGACTATAAATGCTCTAAAACACGTTAGAAAGCTTTTCGATGAATCTAACATTAGAATCACATACCGCAACCCAGAAAAACAAACCGACAACTCGTTACGACTACTAGACGATGGGTTGCTGGACACCACACCCCGCGACGAGACGCTGGAGATGTAGGTGAAGCCTCGAGAACAATCCTCGACTCGGATAGAGAGACAGACACAAATTACACCGACAGTATCCACTAACACACCCCAGAACAGCCCAGAACCAACAAACCTCCCCCTTCCTCCGTCTCCCCGCCGAACTCAGAAATCGCATATATAACATCCTATTCGGCCACCGATCAATCCACCTCAAAGACCGTACACCTTCAAAATACCACCAGATCCCCCGACCCTGCGTCACGCACATCCGCCCCGTTCATCCCGACAACGACGTATACGGCCCCGGTATCGAAAACGACCGCACGCGTCATCCGGGTAAACAAACACATACATTCTCCTTACTTTTCGTAAGCCGCCAGATCTACGAGGAAACCCGCTACCTCCCCTTCAGCCTCAACACGTTCAGGTACGACGAACGACTCGGGCGACAGACCTGGCTCCGCTCGCTGGCATCCCGACTCGCTGTCGTGCGGAAAGTGCGTCTTCATGTTGAAGAGGATTGGGGTTTAAACCGTGGATTAAATGAAGGTCTGACCAACGGACTGGAGTTCTTCCCAAGTCTCGATAGTCTGGAGCTGATTTGCGGGCATGGCCAGTACAAGGCAGGTGGGTTTGACAAGATACTCAGATTGGCGAAGAAGACGAAGCGGGATGTGGAGGCGCTAGTCGGCTCCGAGGTCAAATTGAGGATCTATGTCAGGAAGGTTTGGAACATTCGCGAGTACGATCTTTTTGATTTTTATACCTATTTTCCCTTCAAGCTTTGAGCGTTGCGACCTATTTTGGTCGGATTGGAGTGACGGATTGCAGACATCATGCTCACAGCTGGCATGTTGACATGGGTCTGGTGTAGGATATGAACGGAAGAAGCTTGGTGAAGCTTGAGAAGCTTCGCGTTGAAGAGCCAGATCTTAGTCATCCATCATTCCCAACAGGGAAGGTACATAACACGACGACTTCGTCATAATAAAGCTCACCCAAAAGTTATTTGACTATCTTACCATCTCAGTTGTGATCCTCGCTTGCGACAGTATCATCCCATTCCTTCCTGCTGGAAAAGCCGAAAATGCAAGTCCACGAGCACCCCGCCTCATCCCCCATCCTGCGGCGCGCCCTAAAAACCGCCCTACCTCACAGTGTCAATCTCGTCTACAGAATCCAGCACCCAAACCGAACTGAGCACGCTCACATACTCGCCACATTCCCTCCGTCGGCCACTGAAATACCAGAACGCTGGGCAGCAGCCTACCTCGACCGCTCTATGCGTCCAGAGACCGAACTTTGGATCTTTAGTAACGCAGAACAGCCACATCACTCGAATGCAACACCGGAGTTTCGTCAAGAGAGCAAGAAGGCGGTATTGGCATTACTAGAATATATGGCTAAACTTGCTACTCCACCAATGCGTTCCGATAATCTACCTGCTCTGGACCTGGCAAAGCAACACGAGAAAGACTACCCAACCCCACCAGCATCCGGCGCATTCGAATCCTCGCCAGGAACATATATGCGACATCTTCTCATGCCCCAAGTAGTCACTTTGGGTGCATGCCACCGCGATGTGGTCGAGATCCTCCGCGAAGCAGGAGTCTTGCGCACCGAGCTTCCAGGCCCTGATGCAGAGCTGAATAAGTTCCTGTTCAAGCTTTCTGATCTTCCAGAGACGCGAGAGCTACCCAAGGGATTACGGTGGGGTGAGATGCGCGAGAAGGATATCGATGTCGTCAAAGCCAGGACGTCTATTCCAAGGACGACGAAGACACTCATGTCACTGAAGAGTGTGGGTGTTTTTGAAGAAGAGACAGACACAGCAGTAGCGTGGACATTCCTCGGTTTAGACGGTTCTCTTGTTACGCTACATACGGAAGAAGCATATCGAGGAAAGGGGATAGCAAAGGCCGTTGCAGCGAAGCTGTTTCGACAATATGCCCCAGGGTTAGCAGTAGACGACGACGGGAATGCATGGTCACACGCAGACGTATACTCGGGCAATGCGCAAAGTGAAAGCGTTTGTCGAAGCTTAGGAGGCAAGCCGCTCTGGAGGTGCTTTTGGGTGCGGATAGACCTAGAAAGGGCGGGTCATCCTGCAAAGGCTGTCTGAGCTGCGGTCAGATGGTGCGCATCACCTCTTCACAGCATGTTGAGGTGCACAAGCTAGTGGTATATCTGTTGTAAAGTCAGTTTCGAGCCTTGCCATGGTAAAGAACGAGTGACTTGAAAGACAGGTTGCTCATTAAAAAATTAGAGTGTTGTTGTTGTATTTTGATCCTCACCGAGGAATCTCAGGGTTAAAAAGAAAATAATCATAGCAGCGCGAGATGAAAAGGATGTAGGCTTACCTGAGATCGTACTGACGCAGATGCTTTGTGAGCATCACGGCATAGTGTCTGAATGAGTTCATCTGATCGTATTGTCGTTGACTGTCTATACCATGAAGACATGCTTCGACAGACCGTAGCCATGCCGATATCTCTCAAGAAATGTCATCGCAAACGTGAGTAGCTTAGTCGAAGAGACCGAAGCCCATGTCGTCATCCTCAGACTCCTCCTTCTCCTCTTCCTTGGCCTCCTCCTTAGCGGCAGGGGCGTCACCACCACCGGAGGTAGCACCGACGGCAGGGCCAGCGGAGGCGTACTTGTCGGGGTTGGCGATGCGGTCCTTGAGCTCGGCGATCTCCTCCCACTCGTAGTCGGTCTCAATGGCGACAGAGATGACCTTCTTGTAGGAGTTGACAACGGAGTGCATGACGGAGGGCAGGGTGGGGAAACCAGAGGCCAGAGAGATGGCGGCAATGGTGCTGATGGCAGAGGAGAAAGCCTTGAGCAGCTGGGACTCCTCGATGTCCAGGACGGAAGCCTCGAAGGTCTGGCCGTTGTCGTAGATCTGGTAGATACCCATACCGTAGGTGAAGGGCGAGATGTTCAACAAGTTGAGCAGGGTAGCCTCGGAGGCACCGACCTTGTTACCGGCCTCGATGAGCTTCAAGTCGGAGGTAATTTCGATGGTACCACGGGCAATCTTGGTGGGGACACCGAGAGCCTGGAAGAAAGAGGTCTTTCCGGGTTCCATACCACTGCCATATGTCAGTTATTTGTACGATGTGTGTGCGCAGGACGTGTTCTTACGTGTTTCCGGCGGGAATGTAGACATCGCCGGGGGCGACGGCACCGGCACGAGCGGGAGCAGCGACACGGTTGGCGAGGATCTTGTCACGGGTCTCCTTGAGGTCGGCGTTGGTGAAGACGAAACCGACGTTGCCTGTACTATTGTCAATGCTGTGCGCGAGTGTCGCGTCTGTTGGAAGACGTACCCTTGACGTGGGGAAGGAGACGCTCGTACTCGGGAGAGTCGTTGATGAGACCCTTCAGAGCACGGCGGACCATGGTGTTCTTTCCCATGAGAACGACACCCTCGCCGCGGAGCGACTGGCGGATCTCGTGCATCTGCTGGGACGAGACATTGTCGACGGTGACGATGAAGATGCTCTTGTACTCCTTGAGGAGCTGTTCGAGCTTCTCGAAGTAAGCGGCCTTGGTTTCTTTCTTGCCCCCCATTGTGTTCTGCGACCCAAAGGGATGTTTAAGGTCTTAGTTTGGTGTTGTTGATGGTTTGAGGAAGAGAGGGAAAGTTCGGCCGGCGAAAATCGAGGTTGTCTGCTGTGGGTGGCCCCTGCTCGCCTAACGCGCTAGCGCATTTGGGGCCTCACAGAAAAGTACCATCAACTCCACGAGCCGGTGTCCAACGCAGACATCATGACTGTTCCGTACCAGTGCATTGTAGCGCGAAGCTCCGAGTCTTCAGATGACTGGACTGTGTTTGCTGCGAGCGGCTCCAAGATTGTAGTTCAATCCAGCCGCGGGTCAGTGACGACATGGCCACAGCAAGACGCCCAAATCGAAGTGAGTGATGGCGTACTTATTGTGATTTGTTAATGTTGTGGCATTGGATTGGTGGTCAAAGTCGTTGCCCATCGCTAATATGAGCAGGATCAGCAGGAGGGCGACTCCGAAGAGCGACCAGGAAAACGCATCAAATTGGAACAACCGAAAGAGCAAAAGTCGAATTTCGCCAGTCTCATCCTCTCAAATGATGGACAATACTTGGTTGGCATCACTGGCGAAGATAAATGTGTTCGCGTCTTTCAGATCGATGCTCAGAGCCAGCTGCACCAGTTGAGTGAAAGGTAAGAGGCGCACGGCATCCACCTCGTTCGACAATTGACATGATCAAGGTGCATGTCAAGACGGCCTTGCTCAATTACCCTCACGTCTGACGACACAACCATATTGTGTGCAGACAAGTTTGGCGATGTCTATGCATTACCACTTCTCCCTTCGCCTGATGACGACAAGGTAGAAGAGTTGCCCGAGGCACCAGCAACTGAAGAGGCCGATGAGAAAGAATGGATCCCTTCCGCTACTACTCTCACTGTTCACTCTGGCAGGAATCGAAAGACTCTTGAGGAGCAGCTGAGACGGAAAGCGAAAGGCCCGGCGAAGCCCAAAGAGACTATGAGATTCAAGCACGAGCTGCTCCTTGGCCACGTCTCTATGCTCACAGATGTCGTCTATGCAAACGCAGCTGGTCGGGGCTATATCATGACAGCGGATCGGGACGAACACATCAGGATATCAAGAGGCCCACCGCAAGCACATATTATTGAGGGTTTCTGCTTCGGCCACGAAGCGTTCGTGAGCAGGCTTTGCCTTACTCAGTCTGGTCTACTTGTGTCTGGCGGTGGTGACGATCACTTGTTCGTATGGGATTGGCAGAACTATCTCTTGAAGGAGAAATTAGCCATCCGTGATCTTGCTTTCACTCATCTCCAGGAGCGTGGTATGATCCCAGAAGGAGTAGATATGGCAACGTGCAAGGTTGCGGTTTCTGGGATATGGAATTTACCAAAAAAGGACGATGTAAGTATCACGAAGACGTTGACTTTGTTTATCCATTATCTGACTCTTGATAGGCCGAAGTAGTTGTTGTGGCATGCGAGGGAGTACCAGCATTGTTCAGCTTCGGACTAGGTGCATCCGTACCAGGCAATGCCATTCCACTGGACGGAAACGCGCTCGACCTTGCCATCATCCGCACGTCTACTGGTCCATTGAAGGTGGCTGTTTCGATAGACAACATCCAGAAGCCAGGCTCAACGACCGAAGTTCGGGAAGACACGGTAAGCTTCTTGCTCAGAATTACTTCATGAATGATAGCTAACATATCAAGCAGGTACCAAGGCTGCAATACTTCGCAAGACAGCAAGACGGTACATGGCATGCAGATGCAGAGCTCGCAGAGACATTGAAGAGTTTCGACCAAGGTGGTGACGACCGACTTGCAGATGACAAAGCCGTCCGGGATATGCTCTACAATGTGGAGAACCTCAGGAAGCGTCCAGGCGCGGAGGATTAGATAGCAGCGTTAGACGCCCACAATGGACTTGTAGTGCTCACTCCCAAGCGCGGGGCCGATATACAAAGACAGAAAGTGAAGCGCGACGCGTGCGACTCCAGAACGTGCATGAACTGTAATCATCCAAACAGTCGCCCCCAGACTACGCCTCAGCGCCGGACGAGGTCGCGACATTTCGGACGGGGCTCCTGATGAACTTTGCCGAGGCTCGTGATACAGAAGTCGCCTCGAGTCAAGCATGTCAGCACCGGACATTAAACGCAAGATGGGCAAGATGGGTGGGCTGCGTGGAACGTGGGTCTAGTACAGGTCGATTTCTAAGAATGACAGCCCGGCCGGCGATGGCGTAGATCGACAGCAAGCAGCCGACTTTTTTCTTTCCAAGCAGAAATCTCCCAACGTCTGACATGTGTTGCATTTGCAAATAAGGTGTGCTTGCTCTCTTCCTCCTCATTCTCCAACGTGCTATCCTCATTTTGATACCGCATTGCATATATATTGACTGCGACGCATAGTTGAGCACGATCTGCATCTTGAAAACCCCACCACGCCTCGGCTCGCCGTCATCCCCCAAATATCGCGGAACCTCCGAAGCTAGAAGACGACGTCCACTAATCGCAAACCCGCTGCGGCAACGTCAAAAGCGTTTTTCCAGCCCCTTCTCCGTCACTTGGTCCCTCCCACATAAGGCACCATCTGCACCGCTCGCACTTCGTTGCTAAACCTCCACGTCGCATCCCACCCTCCACACACGACCCACACGCCCGCAACCACATCTTGCACGCGACACGCGAAACTTTCGCACACGCCGCCAAAGTGTTCGCATCAATCTTCCGAAGGGCCTCCTCCCCCCGCAATCTATCCTTATTCTCCGTCCCCATCGCTGCCGCGGCATCGCATAATCAGCGCGTCTCACCTGTAGCGGGGCTCTCGACTGCTTCAACCTTTGCAAAAGTACAGTCGCGAAACATGCATTCAAAACTAGTCAGTAAGTGGCATCCTAGAAATTCCTGGCATGGATAGTACTAACAACATACAGTTATTGGGTATGTTCTGCGATCAATGGCGCGACAGAGTCGATTTCGAGAATAATGCTAATAAACACAGCTCGGGGCCAGCAGGCCACACCGCAGCTATCTATGCCGCACGAGCGGACCTGAACCGTAAGACACCGCGTCGCCATCACGTCGACGACATGCTAATCGCTTGTAGCCGTCATGTACGAGGGTTTCATGGCTCTCGGCATCGCCGCAGGTGGTCAATTGACCACAACAGACGAAGTCGAGAACTTCCCCGGTTTCGTCAAGATCGGAGGCGGCAAGCTCATGGTCAGTAACAGCACGCGATGGTTATGCGCCAACTGGTACTAACAGCATACAGGAGCAAATGCGCGAACAATCCGAAGCCTGCGGCACCGAAATCATCTCCCAGACTGTCGCAAAGGTTGACCTGAAAGCGCGCCCCTTCAAGTACTGGTTACACCCCATGGGCGACGAAGAGGAGATTGAGGAGGAGATACACACTGCCGATGCTTTGATCATCGCGACCGGCGCAAAGGCCAGGAGATTAGATCTCAAGGGCGAAGACAAGTACTGGGGCAACGGTGTATCCGCATGCGCCGTATGCGACGGCTCCCTTCCCATGTTCCGCGACCAACCATTGGTCGTCATCGGAGGTGGTGACTCGGCAGTAGAGGAGGCTCTATACCTCACGAAGAAGGCGTCAAAGGTTACCGTACTCGTACGAAGAGACCAGCTCCGCGCGAGCCGAACGAACGCCCGCCGGTTGACAACGCACCCCAAGATCGAGATCATGTACAACACCAGCGCAAGCGAGATCAAGGGCGAGGACAAGAAGAACGGTCTGATGACACAACTAGTGGTCAAGAACAACGTCACAAAGGAGGAGCAGACCCTCGACGCAAAGGGTCTCTTCTACGCCGTCGGCCACGACCCCGCCACCGAGCTGTTTAAGGGACAGCTTGACATGGACGAAGACGGCTACCTGATCACCAAGCCCGGAGAGGGTCTCACAAGCGTCGAGGGTGTCTTCGCGGCCGGTGACGTTCAGGACAAGCGGTACCGCCAGGCCATCACCAGTGCAGGATCCGGCTGCGTTGCTGCCCTCGAGGCAGAGAAGTGGCTTGCCGAGCAAGACGATAGCGTTGGCAACGAGCTCGAGACAGAGAACCAGGCTGAGAAGTCGCAAACAAACGGCGTCGTCCCCGAGTACCGCTCCAACCCTCTGCTATAGAGGAAACACGCACCACAACCATTACCATTACAAACTTGGACCATATTTGGACCATTTCTGGAATAACTCGCATGAAAGGGCATGGGCGTCTCATTGTTTAGCGCATATATGGAAGGCACGGGCACCATGTATAGACCTTCGGCAAAAGGCGGTGCATTTGATATAGAATCTTGAGCGGTTGATTTAGGGTTTTAGATAGAGCAGACACCTGGCAATGAATGTCTTTCAACTGATGTATATCGACCGGGTTCCGTTCATTGCGACTGATCCTTCTCAACATGACCACTTCGGTACTGATGGCATCCTACATGACGGTACAGCGCATCAGGTGCATCCTCGATGAAGTGCACATTGGAAGGCTAGACAATCGCACCAATTGCCGCGGGGTTGGCGACGAGCTATCAGGGCCAGCGACGCGCTGTGGGACTCCCGATTGCGGGGGATGGTGAGCAAGATAGATAGCGCCTAGGTTGATGAGCATCAACGACCAAGGCCACTGGCTTTGAGGAGGTTGAGCGCACTCTCGAAGGCTTTGACTACATTGATGTCTGCGACATATTAGTCAAAAAGCATGAAAGGAAGTAAAGACTGTCGTACAATGATTACGCTTTTGCTCCAATTCCGCTTCCTCGTGCTGAACATATGTCGAGCGCGTGCGAAGCCTGAGGCACGATGTTAGTAGGTCACGCAACTTTCAAAAGGCATGTTTACCTTGCGTAGGTCCGCTCGGTCTCGTGCTCATTCCCTGACGAGGCCCAGATGCGGAAGTACTAACAACTTCATCAGTAACTCGGGCAGAAGTAGAGAAGAGGCAGCTGTACATTCATGAGATTGTCCCACTCTTGCATTAGTAGATCCTCTTCGTTGTGGCATGTCTTCATCGCATCGTGGTACCGCGCCTCTAGGTCTTCCCAATCAAAATCGACAATTTTTTCTGCGGGATCACTCTCTTCGTCTTCTGACTGTTGTTCAGCGGCAGCATCTGCTTCGTCGTCGACCTCGTCTTTTGTGCGCTGTGCTGAGGATGGCCGCTCTGTCTCATCTGAATGCATGCGTCTCATTGGCGGTCGTACAGTCTGCGCCTCTTGACTGGGTGGCGGCTCCGATTTGGCAGCCGGGGCAGTATCCATTGCGGTGGTATTTGTTAACTGGGTTAGTAGTGGAGGAGAAGAGGGGTATGTCGAAGAGATGTGAGAGGGGAGGGATGATTCGGGTTCGTGGTCGGGAGTCCTGCTCATTTGCGATGCCTTTGGTCAGTGCTGTAGGTAAGTAGAGTGATCGCGAGCGCCTCTCATCGTCATCAGAAAGATATTCGACGCGAAATATCAGTTCTATCAGATCGAACGCAGTACTCGAAAAGGTAGATTGAGGTTCACTCACGCATACCACGTGCGTTAGCGCGATCCGAATTGGTCAGTCGCGGCATGACGTTGGAAGGAGCGTCTGACTCGCGAAATCGCGCCTCTGCCTGAGTACCGCCTCCATCACACAACCTCTTCAACCACCAGCCTCTGGATGCCTTGCTTATGCTTCACGACAGAGGAGAGCGCTAACACTCACGGAGCCTAGACATTCACCGAAAATCCCACTGACGGATCCCATGGCTACATAGGCACTCGCCAACCGCCTCGACGAATCACTACCACCATGGTCTCGCTGCACCTTCCAGACCTACCACTCCACGGCATTTCTGCAGGCGACATCACATAACATAACCTCTACTCATCATGGAGTGCGACATCTGCGGGAGAGACGGCAGCCTGAGCCAGCCTCTCCACTGCATGACCTGCGCGCGCTCATACCTCGAACAGCCCCGCATCCAACTCGCAAAGACGCTGATAGACCGCGATGCTGTCGCGAAACACGTCACAGCTATCATCAACGGCTCGGAAGACAAGGCCATCCAGCATGTTTCTCTCACCGACTCAAAAGGCGGGCTCTTGGTCGACAGGCAAGAGTGTACGAACAATCTGAACTGGGAGCGGACGAAAGCAGAAACGGCAGAGATTCAGGACCGACTAGGCATGATCTCAGAGCATGCCGACCAGCTCCGACGGCAGATGGAGGATACCAGGAAGCAGCTTGAAGCGAAGCGAGCGGCGAACGCGCAACGCAAGTCAGACCTCTCGTCCGCCACGTACGGCATCGAATCGCGGCGGGCGAACGAGTTGGACAAGGTGCAGCAGAGGGTCAAGCGGTCGGACTACAACGCGGACAAGATGCACCACGATACCATAGATCTGCGCATGCAGCTATGCACGACTGCTGCGAGGCTCGCGGGACTTAAGATGCAGCGGCGGAAGACAAGGGACGGCGGTATCAAAGAGGTCTACAATATTGGGCCAGGCACGCGTTTGCGGATATACGATCTTCGAGATCTGAATGGTATGTCTAGGCTATACCTGTCGAGGCGATGTGCTAACTTCGAAACAGATGTGACGCCTGACGGCCTATCTGCCTCACTGGCTGCCGTGGCCCAGCTCGTCGTCCGAGTCGCCGCGTACCTGGGCATCCGTCTCCCAGCCGAAATCACACTCCCCCATGCCGATTACCCTCAACCTACAATCTTCAGTCCAGCATCCTCTTACCAGGGCAAGAAAGTACCTTTCCCTGGCTCGACACCCTCACATTCGTCCAGCGCCAGTCCGGAAGCGTCCCGAACGCTTGAGACGCGTATTCATCTTCCGAAGCCGCGCGCGTTATTCGTCGACCGCCCTCTGAGTCACCTCTGCGCCGAAGATCCTCCTGCATACTCGTCCTTTATTGAAGGCGTGTCTCTGCTTGCGTACAATGTGGCTTGGCTATGTCGAACCCAGGGCATGAAAGACAGCTTCAAGCAGTGGGAGGATACTTGTTCGATCGGTCGCAATCTGTTCCGACTACTGATCACGCAAGAAACATACAATCCCCAACGCCTCGAGAATCCATTGGACAAAGACATCACCACTTCCAGGTCTTCCAGATCGATCCTCCGCAAGTCACCTGTAGGCTTTGGGCAGCTTTCACACGCTACTTCACATTCCTTCCTAGGCATGGCCGAGAACGCACAGTACATCAGCGGATGGGGCTTGTCGCCAACTAAGATTATCGACGAGCTGAGGGGATATCTGTTGGCTGAGCAGCAGGCGCAGGAATGGGACGTGTTGAACCAGAAAGAATGGGAAGACATGGAGAACTTGATCGCGGAAGACCCCATTCTTGTTGGTGAGAAACGGCGAGGTAACACCGGCCTCGACGATGGGCGTAGCTACCTCACGTCGACTACGAGGAACGGAAAGCCTTCACCATCACAGACGGGACATGTCTCCCAGAGCGAGCAGACAGCGCGGAAGAAAGGCATAAGTGGATATGTGAAGCTTAAGAGCCGGCCAGAGGAGGATGCATACTGAGCATCACCATTATACCCCCAAGATACCCATAGACGTTTGCGCCCTTCATAGACCTCTCTCCACTTCAATCAGATTACGATGCAAATCACTTGCCATTGAGCGCCAACGTCAAATTGTGCTTACGTATCCAAAAACTCTATAAAGCATCTCGCCCGAACAACCTGCTGGACTTGGTAGCACTCGCAGCGCGATGTGTAATCGAAAAGCTGCCAAGGCCGTCACAAGGCGGGTCGGAGAATACTATGACACCATCTCCGCTTGCTCACGAAACCAACGCGCGCTTTGGGCCGAGCTGTGTATGCCACGGTTTGAGCAAACGCCGCCTGATTAATCTGCTGCTGAGAAATGTCAGACGTCCAACGCGGCCTGTTGGGTATAAGATGGCAGGAGCCATGGAGATGGTTCTCCCTTGCTTTCCATCTCCACTTTGACAGGAAATTCTGCAAGAAAGAATTATTCTGCATTCGCGCCATCACGGTCAACCGCACATGCACCACCGATAGAAAGCGCGCTAGGATTTGTCGCTAGAACAATAATTTACCTATAGGCGTCAACACCTCGGAGGGCCTGAAATTTGGATAGAAGTTTGTGCTCTCGCTGCATTTCGAGGTTCAAGTTCCTTCGTACCACCACGTCAACTCCGCCCGCCGTTCAAAGAGTACTCAGAAGATCAAGATGACGCTCCCCGACCACCCTATCGACACCCCGCCACGCGCGCCGTCACCAGTCCACGGATTCGGCACCCTCGCCGTGCATGCCGGAAGCCCTCATGACCCCGTCACCGGAGCTGTCATTGAAGCCGTAAGTATTTTAGGCGCATGTCTCACAAACACACGGCTAATCCAATCAGATTTCCCTCTCGACAACATTCGCGCAAACCGCCGTTGGAAAGCCCATAGGCGAGTATGAGTACTCGCGCTCCTCGAACCCAAACCGGTACGCATGCGCGACACCATTCAGATATTCAAAACTAATGCGCCCGCAGAGACAACTTTGAAAAGGCAGTCGCAGCCCTCGAACACGCCCGCTATGCGCTCGCGTTCTCGTCCGGTTCCGCCACCACAGCCAACATCCTGCAATCGCTCGCCGCAGGCTCACACGTCGTGTCCGTCTCAGACGTCTACGGCGGAACGCACCGCTACTTCACCAAGGTCGCCCTGACGCACGATGTCAAAGTCACCTTCAGCCCGAGCATCGAGATCGACATCGCCGAGCTCATCCGCCCCAACACGAAGCTCATCTGGATCGAGTCGCCGTCGAACCCCACGCTGACGCTGGTGGACATCCGCAAGATCTCCACGATTGCGCATCAGCATGGCATCATGGTGGTTGTCGACAACACCTTCATGAGCCCGTACGTTCAGAACCCGCTGGACCACGGCGCGGATATCGTGGTGCACTCCGTCACAAAGTACATCAACGGCCACTCTGACGTCGTCATGGGCGCCGCGGCCTTCAACTCCGATGAGCTATACGAGCGTCTGTCTTTCCTCCAGAACGCCATTGGTGCCGTTCCCTCGGCCTTCGACTGCTGGCTCGCACACCGCGGTCTCAAGACCCTGCATCTCCGCGCGAGGGAAGCAACCAAGAACGCTACGGGCGTCGCAAAGGCTCTCGAGGCCTCATCACACGTCGTTTCCGTCAACTACCCCGGTCTTCCCTCCCACCCACAACACCACATTGCGCTGAAGCAGCACCGTGACGGAATGGGTGGCGGTATGCTTTCCTTCCGTATCCAGGGCGGTCACGCAGCTGCAGAGCGTTTCTGCCAAGCGACCAAGATCTTCACACTGGCTGAATCGCTGGGTGGAGTCGAGTCGCTCGTCGAGGTGCCCAGCGCCATGACACACGGTGGTATTCCCAAGGAGCAGCGCGAGGCGGCGGGTGTCTTCGACGATCTCGTCCGCATCAGCTGTGGTGTTGAGGATGAGGCGGATCTTGTTGCCGATGTTAAGCGTGCGCTTGAGGAGGCCGTTGTTGGTCCTAAGATCACGAACGGAAAGGCTTCCAACAACGCTGCGCCGGCTGCTCAGTAAATCTTACTCTGTGTGTCACGGTTTTGCACCAGGTGGAGAAAAGTAGCTTTTATGGGCACATATGGATAGATGGCGTTTTTGTTCGGTATGGGCTTATGACCCTTGTGATGGATATGATATCAGAGATACTCTCAATTGAAAAGTGTGGTGCCGTAGTACGACAAAGTCTTACACAGGGTTTCGTATACCTAGGTGGCTTCGAAGTTCAGACGAAACGCGCTTCTTGCTAGCGCCTCAAGTGCCATTGTGTTAGTATATAAACACGGAACCCCGCATTCTATCCCACTACATACAGCCATCATCCACAGATCTCATACTGATCCACGATGCAGAACAGCGCTACACTTGCGTACAGCCCCCTAACGCACCCTGACTCTATCCGCATACTTGTGCTGCAGCCGTCCCCAGAGCCTGCATCTATACTGTCTGGAACCCTAACTCGGTCCACGCTTTCAGAATTGGACATTGATCTCATCAAGGTGTACACGGCGCTAATCTATGTCTCTACCAGCAACGAAAAGTCTGGCCATTTGTGTTTGGGCGGCGCGCATGTCAACATTACTGCAGACCTCGAGGGTGCACTCAGGCATATACGACATGACAGTCTGCCTCATTGTATATGGGTGAAGCAGTTATGTGTAAACCAGGGCGATGAGATGGAACGCGCTAGCCACGCAGCTATCATGGACCAGATCTACTATGTGGCTCGAAGAACAGTCATTTACAGCGGCTCCCTAAGTCCTTCTTGCGAGGCTGTATTCAAGGCAGTGCGTTATCTACTAGTATCACAAGTTGATCCATTGCTATACTGACTGTACATAGGCGCGTACAAAAGCGGTTTGCTTGCATCAAGGTGTTCACAGCGACACCTCTACAGCGAAACAAGCTCTCCCGTGGGATAGCGACGTCTTTGAACGACAGTGGTTTGATCGTGTTTGGTCGCATCAAGTTTTGAGGTTTTCCAAAGACCCGTGGGTTCAATGTGGCTCTATGCGTATACGCTGGGGAGAACTTTGCGGTTACTTCCTATCTAAAGACATTAAAGTCGAAAGGGAAGACTATCGAGATGCTGAGGGTTTGGACCTGTTGGGAGTTCTGCACGGCACTCGCACCGAAACTCCTGTTGATCTCGTCGAGTGGCTCGACCGCTGGAGAGGACTCGAGATAGCAGACTATCGAGATATGATCGACGCCCTAGTCTGCCTTGCAAGCGATGGGAAAGCTTTGCTTGCCATGGGACCAAAGCCGTTCACATGTTCTTGGCAGATAGCGTTCGGTACAGCGGCTGCCTGTGTCCTCCAAAAACGCGGCTTCAGATACTTATGCACTCAGTACCACGACAGAGACGAAGACAGCTCTGCTGAATACTACCAGATGGTTGTTTCAGGAAACCACAACAAAACCAAGGAGCAGGAGATGAAACCTCCGACTTGGATCCCGGACTGGCGACTCAATGATCCTCATCACAGGATCTCCATCTATGAAAGCTGGGTAAAGGCCGGTTACAGCAACTCTTCAAATTCGCGCAAGCGCAAATTGGAAGCTCAAGAGCCACTAACCGAAGCCGATAGCATCGATCATCTCTTGAATTTTGGCCGCGACTTTACCACACTCCAGATTCTATCCGACAAGAAAGACATCATCAAAGCAACTAGCGTCGAGATCCCCGACGCTTTCGACTGCGATCCCGCAGCACAAAAGCGTTCCGCCGAATACAAAATGGGACTTGGAACAGGGACACCGGGGACTCTTGGCAAAAGCGACAGCGATACTCATAAAAGATGTATGCAGTTCTTCGAAAACTGGGTCATGGAAATCGTGAAAGAATGGAGCGGGGACGACTCAGACGCAGACTACGAGGAGGAACTACCAGAAACAGATCAAACGTGGTTATCTACCAAGCGCGGATTACTGTCTTGTATGGACGCATGGCTGAAGCAAATGGACGTCGCACATGGCACAACAACACCCACGGGACACACTAGCTGGGATCCGACATACTGCAATGAAGCATTCTTTCATTTCATCAAGGATTACATGGACCCGAATAGCAAGGCCTCAGTTCCAGAAGGCCGGTCTTTCGCCGTGACCGTCAGCGGATCGATTGGCTTCGTGCCGTCTAGCGCCAAAGCAGGAGATGTAGTCCTTTGGGGCAACGCGCATACTAGAATGCCCGTAGTCCTTGTGCGGCCGGTAGAAAGACAGTTTCCGGGAGAGGACGAATCGATTGCGCCGACTTTGGCGGCCATGGCAGGAAAACGAAACGGAGATGGCCTCACTTCTTTCTATCATTGTACGGTAGTTGGTGAGTGTTTCTTTACTCAGGTCGAGAGGGTGGATCGCGAGGATGATGCAGTTGGGGACGAAGAAGCTAGAGCTGAGCTTTTTGTCATGCATTAGAAGGTGACAAGTGCGCGCTCGTCTCGTGATGATCCGGTTGCAATAACTTTAATGGTACTTTGGGTGGTTGGGTAGGCGATAACTATAATTTGCCGACGAATTCCAAGTTGGTTCGTCTCCATCTACATCCACGGTACGGCGATGAGTCTTTGAAATGAAAGCGGTGAGTCAAAGGAGAGTATATTTTGTAATTGATGTCCATCTCTATTGTTTGCACGACAGTCAATCCCAGCTCAGCCGAAGTGACCGTAACAGCAAGAAGCAGTACTCTGAAAGCCATGTTCCCTCCCCCAATCTCACTTGGAGAAGTGCGCTGCCTATTCCAGCAGCTTTTGGCACGCAACCACGACAACCCGAATTCTCACGCACACCCCGTAATCATTTCCCTCGATATCGCACACGGAAACCCCAAGCGCTTCAGCGCTATCGGAGCATCCACACTCGACACGAGGAGTCTCACAACTTCACACTTCTCAACACCGATGCACCATACTCACCCGCCCCTCCACACAGAGACTTTCGACTTCCGGTACGGCCGAGTAGGCGTAAATAGAAAGCAATTGCAGGCCTTGTTCCATGGCCAAGTGCACCAAGTGCGATGGAGCGAGCGCGCTGCCGTCCTCAACCACATCTTTTCTCACTGCGTCAATGGAGATAGGGAGCCGTGCTGTAACGCGCGCAAGCTACCTTTGTATGACTCATCGAAAGTCAATGACTCAAACGAACAGCGACTGCCGATTATCCTTGTTGGTCACGACATCCCTTCGGATCTTCTCTCGTTGAACAAGGCGGGTATCAGCATAACTGACATAGCCACCGTGACCGCGATCATCGACACGCAGAAGCTTGCTCGCGAGATGTACAAGGCTGACGATCCTGGATGGAATGTATCGCTCCGAACGCTATGTCGCCTGGTCGGTATGATACCTAGAAAGTTGCACGATTGCGGGAACGATGCTGCGTGGACGCTACTTGTGCTTTTCAGTCTCGCTGCGAAGCTGATTAGCGAGGATGACGCAGGGAGAGAAATACTAGAGGACGTTGTAAGAGAAGGTACACGCGATAGTAAGACTAAGAAGCAAAGGGACAAGGGAAGTAGAGTGAGGAATAAAGAAGATCAGGTGGACGACTGGGCAGACAATCTCGTTGTTGAAGTCCCTTGAGTTGCACTGTGCAGCAAGCTCATTGTACAGTCCGTCTGATACCTGGCTCGGGTTCGGCATCTATATTGTTGCTGCGCATGGGTGTGGTGTTTTCGTCTTGGGTCACTTCTCCAAAGCTGGGTTGTTTGGGTCCGTTGAACGTGGCTTCCCCATGAGCACGACCTCCTCTAGAAAGCGACTTCCTTTCTTCACAAGCGAGTCTGCCACAAAGTCAGCGACTTCTTTATGCGGGTACACCCAAATCACAGGCCGAAAGGTAGAAAGTGCGTTTATTTGGAGGGACTTTTTCGGTGATATGAATATAGACGTTTGAGTGACTGCATGAACATAATTGTATTACGAATAACTCTCGGCAGGTATTGCCGTGCCTCGTCTATGTCACCCGCCAATCAAGTACAGGAACAGAAACGTCGCGACCTCTCTACACGCCAACGCAAACGTTGGTCTCTGCCCACATGCTTTGACAGTTGGATCCAACGCCAGTGTTCCACTTGACAAAGTTCGCCAAAGTAATCTTCTCATAGCTGATGATCTGCTGGCAGGTGTCGCCCTTGGAGACGTAGTGGAACTTCCTGCAGTTAGACACCATGCCAGGCTGGGTTGGTTGAGGGGTCTGGATGCCGTTACCGGCAGAGGTGGTGGTGGTTGGCTTCTTGGTAGTAGTTGTGGCCGGGGTACCTCCGATGACACCAACGCAGACATTGACCTCAGCCCACAAGCCAGAACAGTCGTTATTCACACTAGGGTTCCACTTCGCAAAGTCAGTGAGGGCGATCTTCTGGCTGCTAAGCACTTGGCTACAGCTAGAACCCTTAGGCACGTAGTAGAACTTGTTGCAGTTAGAGACCATGCCGGGTTGGGTTGGCTGAGGTGTCTGAATGCCGTTTCCTGCGGATGTAGTGGTCGACGGTTTGGCGGTCGTGACGGGGGTTCCTCCACCAATGACGCCAACACAGACGTTCACTTCGGCCCACAGACCAGAACAGTCGTTATTCACGCTGGGGTTCCACTTGGCAAAGTCGCCGAGGCTGATCTTCTGACTGTCGAGCACTTGGCCGCAGTTGGTGCCCTTCTCGACGTAGTAGAACTTGTTACAGTTGGATACCATTCCAGGCTGAGTGGGCATGGGAGTGGCAACACCATTGCCGGCCGTGGTGGTGGTACTAGCCTTGGTAGTCGTAGAGGAAGTGGTGGGCCTCGTAGCAGAAGTGGTGGTGGTGGCCGGCTTAGTGGTTGCTGATGTGGTGGTGGTTACAGGAGTCGAAGTTGTGATCGGGTCGTCGGTAACAGTGCCAATCACACAGTCTAGTTGTCGGTGTAGGAAGTCAGCGTATACATCACATGCAGTTCGTAGGGAGAAACTTACACTCATTGCTGGTGTCCAGGTTGGGGCAGGTGATACCGGGGTTCAGGTTCTTGAGATCGTCGACAGACAGTCCCCAACTGGATGCAAAACTCTCGCACGTCGCACCGCTGTCAGCTGTGGTAGAGAATCCACAGTCAACGCCCCGGCGAAGATGAGCGGGCCATGCCAGGGCCGATCCCGTGAGGAAACCGGCAGCAAGTAGACGTGTAAGTTGCATCTTTGGGGGTTTGCAGTATTACAGAGAAGTTGTAGAAACGAGTGTGGAATGGAGCAAGCTTGATGTCTTGATGGCAAGATGGGAACTCAACGACGCTCTATGCCATCTTTCTTATACCTTTCATCGCAGTTCCCCATCTTCTTTACTTGACTCTTCGTGTTCTAGCGTTCGAATAATTAGGCGGCAGACCAGGCGGGTCACTGGTGTTGGAAGCGGCCTGCATAGTTCATTCAGGAACCTCGGATGAGCTGACAATGGGGCGTAAGAGAAGCAATTGACGATACCACTAGCGCAGCCACAATAGCGGCCGGTGAAGAGTTTCCCCTGATTGTCCCTGCGCTTGAGGCAGCAGCCATAACGGTTCGGGAACGGACCGGAAGTGGACATGAGGAACGGCAAAAACACGGCTCGCGCGACGGAAGTGGAGGCGAAGGCGTGGATGCCAAGCGGGCGTATTGGCGTTTTAGCCGCTAGCGTTGTTGCACGGTCGTTTGATAGGCTGCCTTCCGCCTTCAGCAAGGTACCTTGCATTCACTCTATCGATCCTCAATGTAACCTAAATCTTCCACTTATATTTTTTCCACTTCTCGACTGTCTCCTTCTGTTCTACGACTACATCGACGCACCTTCGCCCCCAACTCCTCAGCCACCTATCTACCGTCCCTGCTTGGCGTCAGCATGCTGGTCGCCTTACTCCTCGCTGCTTGCGCGGGAGCCGTCAACGCAGCCTCCGGCATGCTAGAGGTGGACCTCGTCTTTCCTCGCAACGAGACCTATGCCGCGACGCAAATTTTTCCAGTCATCGTCGCCATCCAGAACCCCGACCTAGGGCGATTCTTGAATCCTACGCTAGACGTGACGGTCACGAACGTGGAAACACAGGCTAGCAGAGACCTGTTCTACCACCTAAGATGGGCGAACTTCTCCGGCAGTGAGCCTTATCAGGAGGTCAAAATCCTTTCGAACTTCACCGAAGAGGGCGTGTGGGCGCTTCGCTTGGACGTGGGCTGGAACAGTTGCACCGAGGACTCGCTTGCATTCCTCGGAGGTGGTCTCGCAGCCAACCGCACGAGTCGCTCCACATTCTTCACCATCGAGAGTTCCGCACCAGAATTAGATCTCGTAGCCGCCACAACGAACCGAGATTGTACCGACAATGAAGCAGTTGCCATCAATGTCGACGCCACCCTGCCGGTCCCTGATTTTATCACCTGGGAGGATTATGATGGCACGACTTGTGCATCTATGGCAGCCACCACACCGGCCCCGACTCCCTGCAACATCAAGATTGATGAGGCTGCTGCTTCAAACATTTCTGCATCCATGACCTCGCTTCATTGCCAGGCAACTCGAAAGCCTGGAGACTCTTGTCCAACTGACGAGAAGAGCACTGCACAGCGACTGATTGGTGGAGGTACGGCAGGATTGGTGGCCGCATTTGGTACATTCGGCTACATGATGGTGTGAAGATCTTCACAGTTACTTAATACACATTCACTCGGTTGTTGAGCGATTGACTTCCACTCCTTTCTTAATTGGGACGACCATATTGCACATCGATACGTCAGATTCTGACTGTAAGCAATAGCTAAGCAATCGCTTTAGATTACAAGACTTTTCCCGCTTGGACCATTGCATCAGGCCCCCATCAGGATCAATCTATGGAATTGCCGGGAGTTGGGCCGCACCGTGGGCAGCTCGGGTCTGACGGCACCGAAGTGCGGCTGAACTACGGGCCAGGCCGTCTGTAGGAACAGTCTAGTCTGGGTAAAAGCTTTGCTGAACACTCCAGGATGACTGCAAGGCTACCTGGACTGGTACACCGTAGGGCTGATCTCAGACCGAACCCCTGCATACACCCGCGGATTTTCATCTCATGCTTGTTGGAAACCTACTGTAGCATGCCTCGGAAATGAGCACCCACAACAGGCCCCCCAAGGGCGGGTAAGCAATGACCGTGTTAGGTCCACTGACCGGAAGTTCGCCTTGCGGGACACGAATCTCAAGATGGTCAGAGGTCTATCTAGGTCGCTCGATACAAACCTTGACGAGCAACGGTGTGACTGCAGACAGTATAAAGCAGACTTCTCCTTGTCGATAGTTAGGGCACCAGGTATCCAAAGTCACTCTTTTGACTCTGGTAACTTCTCCTGTCACATTCATTTGCAGCCCTAGAGCTCAGTATCTTGACTGAGATAGCTTCAGTTGTTGTATTACAACTATGGTTGCCTCAGCATGGTTGAGCCCAGCAGTCAGGGCAATCGGGTTCTTGCTCTTTGTGGACAGTGTGTCCGCGAAAGGAGACTTCAGACTTGCTACGAGCCCGAGCTACCGCAACTCTAATCCTTGCCCAGAACGATGCAGCATCTCTGGCGCGAACACGGGCAACTGGTCTGCCTATCCCAACTTCCAGCAGATCAAGCGGTGTACGGAGACCATGTTCTACGACTTCTCTCTTTACGACGAGGTCGATGACGATTCGAGCAACCACCGTATCAATGCCTGCTCCTCGTTTGGCACTGACTTCACTGAGCTTGCCAGCTCGGAACCGAATTCGACCAACACCGCCCAGACTGTCGATGTCGATTTCGAGATTGGCTGGTGGAATGAAGGCTTCGGCCTGGCTGCCTCCGGTCTCCGATCGCTCATCGCGCAAATTCGAGAATACGCAGACAACGGACATGGCGCTACTGATCGACCGTTCATCATGTTTGGACAGTCTGGTCAAGCTACGATTGGTTTATACATTGGCCAAGGCTTGTTGAATCAGGGGCTCAGCGCTTCCGCCATGAAGCTTTTTGAAGACAAACTCGACAACCTCAATGTTTCGACGCCCAGCTTGGCTATGCAGCTCTGCGAGCCAAGTTACGGTAGCGACCATATATTTGGACTCATGGTGACTAGCAACGGCACATTCACTCCAGTGCAAACTGCCATCAAAACTTGGGCCAATGCGACATGTCTATCCTTTTCCGAATCGGCCAACATCACCGGACAGGCCATCTTTACTACACCACTGGTACCCACGAACAGCACTACCAACTCCACCTTGTCCAATTCCACCTCGTTGTTCGAGCGAACTAGTCAGCACCAAGCACACAAGAGGTATCCGTCTCATGCCAGGTTTCACGCTCGTGCGGACTGCAGGACTGTTCAAGTCGATTCTGGCGACAGCTGTGCCAAGCTGGCTGCCAAGTGTGGCATCACTGCTGCAGAGTTCACCAAGATCAATTCGGACTCTAGCTTCTGTGCAAACCTGAGGCCAAAGCAGCACGTTTGCTGTTCGAGTGGAACCCTTCCGGATTTCAGTCCCAGTCAGGGGTCGGACGGCACATGTTACACATACCAGGTCAAGACCGACGATAACTGCGACGATCTTGCTGCCCAATTCAGTCTCACAAGGGACAAGATTGAAGACTTCAACAAGAACACATGGAGTTGGAACGGCTGTAAGCTCCTCTTTGTAGGCACCAACATGTGTTTGAGCAAAGGTAGTGCGCCATTTCCAGCCCCTATTGCCAACGCACAGTGCGGCCCGCAGAAGCCCGACTCGAAACCGCCCACCGCTGGCACAAATGTTACAGATATGAATCCCTGTCCTTTGAATGCATGCTGCAACATCTGGGGCCAATGTGGCATCACCAAAGACTTTTGCGTCGACACCAACACTGGTGCTCCAGGTACTGCTAAGCCGGGTACTTACGGCTGCATTTCCAACTGTGGAACCGACATCGTCAAGGGCTCTGGCAGCGGCGGTATCAAGATCGCCTACTACGAGGGCTATGGGATGGGCCGCGACTGTCTCTTCCAGGATGCCTCTCAGATCGACACTGCAGCGTATACGCACATTCACTTCGCCTTTGGCACGTTAACGAATTCATACGAGGTTGAAACTGGCGATGTGCTATCAACATACCAGTTTAACGCATTCAAGAAGATCAAAGGCGCGAAGAAGATCTTGTCATTCGGAGGATGGGACTTTTCCACCTTTCCTGCCACGTACAACATCTTCCGCGAAGGTGTCACATCCGCCAACCGACTCAAGATGGCCACCAACATTGCGAACTTCATCAAGAAGCACGAACTTGATGGTGTTGATATTGATTGGGAATACCCTGGTGCACCCGATCTTCCGGGCATACCTGCAGCTAGCAAAGCTGACGGCCCGAACTACCTGGCCTTCCTCGTCGTTTTGAAGAACCTTCTGCCTGGGAAGTCAATTTCCATCGCCGCCCCCTCCTCATACTGGTACCTCAAGCAGTTTCCCATCAAGGACATTGGCAAAGTGGTCGATTACATTGTCTACATGACTTATGATCTTCACGGCCAGTGGGACGCAGACAATTCCTACTCTCAGGAGGGATGCGCTACAGGTAACTGCCTGCGCAGTCAAGTCAATTTGACGGAGACAAAGCAGTCTCTTGCCATGATTACCAAAGCAGGCGTTCCAGGAGCCAAGGTCATTGTTGGTATCACGAGTTATGGACGATCCTTCAACATGGCCGAAGCAGGTTGTTGGGGCCCAGGCTGCGTCTACACGGGCAGTCGCGAAAGCTCCCAAGCAACCAAGGGAAAATGTACCGGCACAGCTGGATACATTGCTGATGCCGAGATTGCAGACATTGTAAATGATCAGAAGAGGGCTGGACGCGTAGTCAAGAACTTTGTCGACACTAGCAGCAACAGCGATATTCTTGTCTATGATGACACCCAATGGGTGAGCTACATGAGCGCCAGTACGAAGAAGACACGCGCCACTTTGTACTCAGCCTGGGGATTTGGAGGTACTACCGACTGGGCAAGCGACCTGCAAACGTTCCACGATGTTCCGAAGCCGGCGGCGAGCTGGGGGGACTACAAGCAACTCATCAAGTCTGGCCAGGACCCCAGGGCCGATCACACACGCAATGGTAACTGGACCAGTTTCCACTGCACTGACGTACTGGTCGACGATGCCTCGTACTACACACCACATGAACAATGGGTGGGGCTCAGTACTGATGAGGCGTGGAAGGACGTTATCAGGATCTGGAAAGATACCGATCGTGGTAGGGGTGGCATCAGCTTCTCTCAATCGGTTTCCGAGACTACCAATGTTGCTTCCTCACCTGACTGTGGTACGATGTCATCTAGCAGCAATTGCGATGCGACCGCAGACTGTGGCCAAGGATTGGAGGCAGAAGACTCAGGCCCCGCAGCCATGCTGATTTGGAACTCCTTCGTGTTCATTCATCAAATGTACAAGGATTACCATGACGCCTTGTTCGATGTGGCTGCAGTAGTCGCTACCAATCTGCGAGATCTGGAGAACAAGTTTGCGCCAATTCCACCCGAGCCCGATCACACATGGGAGCTATTCCTTATCGACCTTCTCACCCTTGGAACCCTTTCAGCTGCTGGGCCATTCTTCAACAATCTCATCAAGAAGATGCCTTATTTCAAAGGGGAGGGCCCGGCATTCGACAACGCCAAAGACACTACTTTCACCTTGATTGGTCAAAGCACAACCATCGCCAAGGACTTGTTGACTCTAGGTGATCCAGACGCAAAATGGACCGCCGAACTTCAAGATTCCTTTTCCAGTTACATGGGCAATGTTATCACTGGATGGGCCAACGTCACTACCGTCGCGTTAAAGCGGTTGTTCGATGGAACCGATGGAAGCATCGATACTTTGTGGGACATCATCTCGGATGGAAAGCTTATCCTTGGCGCAGAGTCCAAGGACGTCCATGGTAGCGACAGATTTCCCAGCCCTATGACTGAGAATGATCTCCGTGCCAATATCCAGAAGTCCGTCTTTGGCTTCGCTATCCCAAACCTTTGGAGCGTTTCCAAGGCCTACCCCTTCATCATCGACTCCGGTAACGGTTGTGATGGCGACAACATCGGAAAATACATGGATGACGATACCATGAAGGCTACTGGAATGTGCTTCGAGGGCAAGATGTACTATATTGCCAGTCCTGACGGCGATGCTAGAGTGTGCAAATGTGAGCCCCAGGAGAAGGGCCCTTGCCAGACTACATGCAGAGTCCAGAAGTTCTCAGCACCCAAGGGCCTTGACTCTTTGGACGGGAAAGACGCGTTCGGTGGTATTACCAAGGAGGATCTCATCAAGGGCTCCGTCAGGACCTGGACCTCGAACGGTCGCAAGAACGGCGCAGAAGTTGCAGATCCCACCAACGACGGTACAATGGACAACTTGCTTGACATCGACGTAACGACGCCCGGATTCATCCGCATACCCGTCTGCAGTGCAGACAGGGCTTTCCAATCCTGGGACACTGCCGACAAGGGCTCAAGCTCACACTACCCCTGCGACATACCACCAGGCCGAAACGACTGCAAGGACTCTTCTTTTGACGACAAGACGAGCGGTGCTTCACCTAGCGTCGACGACTGTCGCCAGATCATCACCAACATCCAAGGAGATGGTTCGACTGACTGGACCACGGATGTGATTGGGCACAACCAGCGCGAGATCGCCAAGTCTGGTTCCTGCTCTTTCGGTGTCGAAGCGTCCAAGACGAACGGTAACGTCAACTTCGTAGTTGGCGGGCAGGACGTCATCGACATCATCAACACCGCTATCGAGAAGTTCGGTGGCAGCGGCAAGGTGGGAGCTGAAGGCCACATGGAGTGCAACGGTAATGTTAAGGGCCAGGCAGTTACCTGGGGCATCTACTAGGAGAGTCTACTTAGACTCGTTTCACTTTTTTTTTCTTGTACTCCAGATACGTCAGCTTGATGTACTGCTTTCATTTGTATGCTTGTACTATAGATCAGAGACACGTTCGTTCACAACAATGGATGCATCATTGAACCTCGAGTAATGGCGGTTGACGAAGTCATACATATCTTGATGTTTACACGCTACCTACAATAGCGGAGAGGCTTATTTACATGAAGATTAGCACTGCATGACTATTTGGTCGGGGCCTCCTAGCCATATGGCTCCTCATCAGATCCCTTACGCGATCGCAACTTGCCTATATCAGCTTCTGCTTCCTCTTCACCTCTATGACCTCCAGACCCATCCTACCAGTCGCCTCCCTTAGATAAACTCCAATGACATCGAGATTTATTGGCGTTGAGCGGAACGCGTAAGGGTGGATGGATACCTTTTGCAGCGAGGTCAGCGTATCGAGGTGCAATCGCGGGCTGTCGCTCGCATGATGCTCGGCACGCATCTCAATCTCTTCCACAAGCTCTCCCGTCATATCGATAGACTTGACCGCGCTGAGTTGCTCCGCAGTGAGACTACTAGTAAATTCAATGAGCGAGGTGTCAAGCTCGAATTAGAATGTGTTGAGCGCGAAATACATCATTGAGGCCTCGCTGTGGACTTGACGACATGTATATAGAAACGCTAGATTTCTCCGTGTGTTCTCTCTAGGGACAGAGTTTCCGTGCTCATCCTCCAGAGCGGGTATATCGACGTATACGGGGCGGTGTTCGTGCAGGATGAACTTGTAGATCCGGTTTCGAAGCTCCCCTGGGAGTTGAAGAAGGGGCGAGTTGTCATGGTTGAGTTGGGTGCTAGTATGGAGTCAGCTATGGTCGAGAAATGGCAATCGGAGCAAACTTACATGCGATCGTAGTCCGACATATTGTTGGTGACACTCTCGGCGACGGCTAGCCTTGAGACTGATCTCTGGGCTTGTTTATAAAGCCTTGAGTTTAGCGGGAAGGTATCCTCCACCTGTCGAGGCCTTCTGTACACTTATCGAGCGAGCGATCTCGAATGGTGAAGTCAACTCCTGCGTACCGCAACTATACACTACAAGGTGAGAATGAGATATAATGAGATCTTCAAGGAAACTAAACCGGTTCCTAGCGGTGGGAATGGGAACATGAATAGCGGGGGAGGGTACTGGAGGGTTTGACTCAGTGACCAAGAAGAAGCGCTCCGTGCACAGGCAGAACACCTATTCACTGAAATGTCATTCAAACTTTTGTGGTGCCTATACTAATGCTAGTATGAGATCGCACTCTGAAATCACTTTTTGATTTGAAACCCGCATCGTAACCATGCAACCTGGACGTTCCTATCTTCCAGTTGCGGTGATGTCCATATGCTCAGTCACGTACTCATCATCTGCTCCACGAACCTGGCCGTTGTGACACCCAGCCTCCATCCCATTGTTCCAACTCTCCAGATCTGTCATATCGCCACGTGGTTACTTCATGCTCTTCAAGTCGATAGTTTTCTCTTCTTCTGTCTCAAATCCAACACATTCGTCCCTCCTGTTTTCTGGGCAATCCCATCGTCCATCTGCAAGGCCACCATCTCCTTTTTTTCCTTCTCTTTCTTGACCTCTTCGGCAGCGAGACGTTGCTGCAAGACCTCCACCTTGGCTTCGGATTGTTGCAACTCTTTCGCCTGCCGCTCGCGCTCCCGCCGGTCAATCCTCCATAGAGCTTCTTTCATGGTAAAAGCACCGGGCCCCGTCGCATTGAGCGCCTCCCTCCGCTCATCTATCGTGTAATCGTCGAATCCTGGCATTATGTGTCCATCATGGCTCATCTTGAGCTTCTTCTTGACTGGCAGCGGCATGCTCTCAATGTTAACGGGGAGACGCTTCCATTCCGGCTCGAGGTTCCTCCACGCCTCCAGCTCTTGTTTTGTGATGTGCGGAGCCTGTTTCAAATCGCCCTGCTGGTCGTAGTTCCATGTGTATATGGCAAAACGCTGCTCGGGTTCCGGTGCGATACGTTGGATCATCTCGTCTCCTCCTTCTTCGAGCATTTGAACTTGTGACCGGGCAGTACGAGCCCTTACAAAGGTTCCTTCACTTCGTGTTGAAGTGGCTCTATCATTGGCCCGTGCCCATGTTAACGGGTTCTTATAATCATGGAATAAGTAATCATATTTGTCTTCCGCTAAGATGACCGTGTGGAGGTCTGGGAGCTCGGAAAAGTTGGGTATGTACTCCTCCGACTTTGTTGGAGGGGTCGACATGGTAGGCGCGGGGGCCGGATTGCCGGTAGGTGTTGTTAAGGGTGGATTCATGGGTCAGATTTGGTTTGGAGGTGAGAAGGGAGGAAGGTTGATCACCGTTAACTGTTGCTGGGGGGGAATTATGTTCAGATTGGTAGTAAGAAGAGGAGTGGAGGATGTAGGAGTATCGATGGCCGGCTTTTATACAAGCGACTAGCAGCCGTAGAAGGGCTCGGGTGAGAGTCGCGTGGGTGAGAGAGCGAACCTGGGGGGACTGTGGATCTAGCCTCCCCCATGTCCTCGCGCAAGTACCACTCACAACCTTCCTTTCGCAACTTCCCCACTACTACCGTCATGTAGTCACTTGACATTCTTCTCCAACCACTCTTCCCACTGCTCCGCCGTCCACGAACTGCTGATCTCATTGTTCACAACCCCATCAAACACAACCGTAGGAGTGACATGCACACCCGTCAGTCGATTCGCTTTCACCTGCACCTTAACATCATCCGTAACCCCGTTTCCTGAGTTCAGTGCCCCATCCTCGCCAGGCTTGTCGCTTATCTCCAACAGTCCATAAACCTTGCCTTCATCGACACCCACAGACCCGGCGATTTTGGCTAGTCGCTTGTACGTCGCGTTCCTCGTCTCGTTGACCAGGCTTACATCGAAGAAGTCTTTCTGCTCTGCAAACAGCTTCTGTGAAAAGTCCCAGAATTTGGAACTGTCGACCTTTTGTACGGCGTAGGCGGCTTCGTGGACGAGGGTGGAGGACGGGTGCCAGGGTTGGATTTGTTGCCGGAAGATGGTTACGACGCGGTCGGAGTATTTCTCGAGAAGTGTCTTGCGGAGAGGGGTCTCGTAGATTGTTTTGAACATCTTGGCCGAGAAGGGGCACACATAGTCGAGGTCTGGGATTTGACTGTTAGTCCGATGGAGGCCTTGGGATGGGTCGGGAAGTTGTAATCCAGCAGTCGAGGATGAAGCACTTACAGAGCTCGAGTGTGTGGATGGCCTTGGGCTGAATAGCACTGGAGGCCAGCTTTTGGCCAGCGAATTTGGGTGCGAGAGCCATGGCGATGGTTGATCTAAGGTTGTGCTGGAGGCCCGGTGAAGAGGTGCATGCTCAATTGATATAGAGCTGTGCTATATATTTGACGGAGATGAACAGATGGCGTGACAATCGGCAGCTTCGGAGTAGATGGGGATGGTACCAGAACACGAATGCTGACATATGAGGATGCCATCGGAGCTTTGGATATGACGAAAGCGGGGCCGGATGTCACGCATGCGAGGACCCGGGCCGCTGGCAACCATCTCTAGCTGCGCCGACCCGACGGCAAGAAACATGCAGCTCACATCCAGATGTTTTTGTATTTCCTTACAATTAAATGATGCCGCTGTTGGATCGTAAATGTTGTCTGATGAGAGATGAAGCGCGGTCAGGGATAGCTCGCCCCTCCCCCACCGCGCTCCACCACAGCTGTCGCGCCAACTCCGCTCACTCCCGAGCCTCGAGCTTCATGCAACACCGCGTCATAAGCCGCGTCCAGTAGGCGCTATAACTTAGACATCCACAGTCCTTATCCACACATCACAGTAGTGATCGCCCATCATCCAGAGATGCCCGAACTTAGCTCAACAGACGACGACCTTCTTGCCCGCCTCAATGCGCTCAAGACATCCTCCGTCAGCCTGGATACCAATTATAGCGCTTCGATAGCACCTAGGAATCCTCCCAACCCCACCGATGACCTCGCCGCTCGCTTCGCACGTCTTGGTAGCGCGTCTCCCTCGGGCTCGCCACAGCCGTCGCGTACAACGTCCACGAACAATGCCGGCGCACCGGTCGCAGCACCAGGGGCACCGAGCTACCTGGAAGGGATAGCCCAAGGCGTAGGAGGCTCGAATGTAGAGTTTAACGAGGAAGATGAAAAGAGCCTAGAAGAGTTACTTGGTGAGCTAGACGGCGCCGTCGGTGATCGGAAGGAATGGGACGTATCCATGGAAGAACAACAAGATGTTGGAAAGCTGTTGAAAGACATGCGCAAGATACTCCCGGAAGTAGTGAATAATAGGACACATGGGCCGCAGAGTGGGCGTACGAAATGTGAGCAGCCATCGAAGGAGGAGTTGACGGACTGGGAGAGCATTGAAATCAATGTTGGAGGTGGGGAGGTCGGTAGAGCCAGGGAAGACACAGAGAGTGGAGATGAGGAAGACGAAGATGGCAAGAAGAGACCCGAGGACGACGAGGCAGACGATGTGATTGCGAGAGTCATGGCAGAACTGGAAATTAGCAAGAAATACGATCCTCCTTCTCCTCCGTCAGAAGACGACAAGTCAGAGTCAGGCGACCAGAAGAATGCATCAACGGCATATACAACAGACGGCGGCTTCACACTGCCTTCCGCACCGAATACTCTCCCCGAAGACGACTTTGCCAGCAGTCAAGCCATCGAAGATGCGTTCACCGCACGCCTGGCCGCTCTAGCCGCTCCTTCGCCATCGCAGACAAATTCCCTCGGCCTTCCTTCCGCCCCATCTTTCGCGCCAAGGAATAAGCCGCCGGTGTCTACCAATCTACCAAAACAGGTCGATCAGGAGATCGATACATGGTGTATCATCTGTCAAGACGATGCGACGCTGAAGTGCCTGGGCTGTGACTGTGATTTATATTGCCAGAATTGTTGGATGGAAGGGCACCGAGGGGAGTCTGCTGGGTTCGAGGAGAAGAGACATAAAGC